AGGAATATTTCGGCGGTATTGTGTGGGAAAAGGATCTAAGGAAACAAATATTTAAGTTCAATTTAACTTGGTCTTGGTGAGTTTCATCAATTCCGGGCACATAGCAAGGGCAGAAGAATTCCGCACCCTCTCCATCTGCTCACCTTTTGCCACAAAACGGGAAGAATTCTGCCTCGCAGGTCTGTTTTGTCGAATTTTAATACACACCCAGCCAACACGTATAATATTTCGCTGGGGTTATTAATGGATTTTGCATAATCCGAAATTTATTAGCTCCATCACACGACTCTGTGTCCTGAAAGTTCGGGGGGAAGTTTTTATGGGCCTCCATTGGCTATCCAGCCACACATCATCCGCCCGGAATGCCCAAATATTTGCCACACTCGGACGGACGGGAGATTGCGAAAGAATGGCGCTTTTGGGGGTGGCGGGAATCCGTCATGACAAAGCCACACACACACACAAGGGTTGAGTGCATTCGGGGTAAGTTTCCATCTTCTTGTGCGATGGGCAACATCAGGGACTGAATATTGAGACACGTCTTGGGATTGTCCTCTGCAGAGTGGGGAATAATAAAATTGAAAATGTGACCCTCTCTTGTCCCTTGCACTCCTCCTGATGCCTTTGGCGGGATATAAAATCCCACCCTGAGGATCGCTCAGCAGACACAACCAAGAGTGACTTTTTGACCCACATTTCTCTCTTCACACAAAACTCTTTATGCATATCTTTATCTGCTTAGCAAATTTATGAGACATCATCGGAGTCTGCAACACCACAAAATACTCTTCCATCATTCACAATTCTCCAGGCGAGAAACTTTCCACAATGAATTAGTTTTATTCATGTTTTCGCCAAATTAATTCATCTCTCAGCTGACTTTTTGCGTCAGAAACTTTAAAAGCTTCTGAGCACGAGGGGCGAAAGAAGCTTTGATGATCCAGGGTTTTTCTGTGTGTGTGTGTGTTTGCAGAAAACATTCTGCTCAAGTGAGAGCCATAATCACCATCCAACAACTGTGACGTTCACAATAAGACGCTCTTTCTTCCCTTTCCATCTTCGCCCAAAACACATCGGACGCATTTATTTGTATTCCCCAGAATAACACAATGTGTCTTCTATGGCTTTTATACTGCAATTAAAGCACTTCTGCCTGAAATTAAGTTTGCCATCTCTGTGTGGCGATTATTTATATCTCGCGCGCGCGGGAAAAAAAGGAAAGAAATGTTGCAGAATTCCGCCGCTGTAACAGAGCCTCTTTCGCTCACTTATTAATATTGAAGGGAATTACCATCCAAATTTGAGGAGGGAAGAAAAAGAACCCTCGCGGTCACATTGAAAGAATTTGCATAATTTCTTTATACTATGGACTTAAAAATTTTGTTGCTACCCCCCAAAAAACCCGTGTGGGTGGCGCTGTGCTTTCCACCCTCACACACACACACAAAATCTCCCATATTTTCCTCACGACTCCAGGGCAATTATCACGTTTTCACATTTTCCAAGGCACTGGGCGCAAGCGAGGAGCTTTCGACAACGGGTCGAAATGAGCTTTGAGAGCATTGATTTTGTGCACTGAAGGGTGAATTTCTTTGGTGTATTTTTCAGCAAGAACATTTTTGACAACATGTGCTGCAGAGAGAAGCATTCAAATGTTGCGTGCGAATTTTCCCAGGCACCATTTCCCAACGACCGAAATGGTGTTTCACCCAGTATTATATGAAATGTGTGTGTTTAATTTTATTACTCCAGCGCTTTATTTTTAATTTCACCCCCCCCGCCCACCCCCCAAAACGGCGGCAAACTTCGCCGCATGTGAAGTTCCTCTTCTTCTTCCGCCACTGTTTCCATGGACAGATGCGACGAGAGAGCTTTTCTGGCTTTCGCCACGAGTTGCGTGTGAACTTTATTCATTCGTCTTTTCTCCGCATGTTTTACCCTCCAAGAATGAAATTGCTCGCATCAATTTGTTTGCCTTTTTTATTTCTCCATGCTTTTGCGCTCGTCCTTTTGTGGTGTGTGATTGTTGAAGGGAGAAAAAAGGTACTTTTAAGGGAAAAAGTTTCTCTTTACTTATTTCGAAAGCATTTCGCTCGTCTCACTTAGTGGCCGAAAAGAGGAAGCTTCGAAGACTCTCTTCACTCTGTGGGTTGAATGGCACACGGATCTTATCGCACTCCATTGTGGAGTAATTTCCTCTTCTTCCCCCATCCCTCAACCCCTCGCGCGCGCGCCAATGTCGGGCAAAACAATGGAAATGTGTGCAATTGTATAATGAAAGGGTTGCCCCGAGAGAGAGAGAGAGGGTGGATTTGACGATGAGCACAAAAATAGAAACATCTAAATTCAACATTTACACGAAAGAAAGTCTCTAGCCACCGAAAGCATCTGCACCTCTTCTCCTGCTGAGGGAACATTTGTCAGGACTCTCCTCTTCTCCTTGCCAAAGTGATTCTTGACTCGGTGGTTGGGGGGGGCGAACCATCAACTCTTTTGCCATCGTGAATTTAATGAACGTATATTTTGCCCACAATCACGCTCACAAGACGTAAAGATCTTCTTGCGGAGCTTTTGCAGGTCACTTGGGGGCGTGGGGCGCAAATGAAAGGGCTAAAGTATGTGGTAAATTATTAATGATGAGCCTCTTTGACCGTCGTGGAAACCATTTGTACGAATTATATTCAAACTGTGTCACTTTAACACTGAAGCGTGAATGAGAATTTTGAGAGCTTCTGAGAATTGCGCGGTGTTGAGAATTTGCAATCATTTCAACTCCTTTTCAGAGGACATCGAGAAGGACTTGAGCACCATCCAAGGGGAAGATAATACAGCCAGAAAGTGGTGTACAACTCATTGGAATATTTGATTCACAGCTTTGATTTTCTGTTCATTGTTTAACTTTTAGAACTCAATTCTTAATCAAAATCCTAATTTTGACAGATATTTTCTAGGTTATGTGACTTGTTAAAGACAAAATAAGTGTTTAAAAAAGTAATTCTTGCACTTTTGTATGGTTTATTGCATATTTGTCCTCAATGCAAATCGCTTTCCTGCAAACTGAGAGAATTCAACGAACATAACCTCAAATTTTCACTTTACAGAACCAAATTTGGAGCTGAAAAAGTTTCCATTCACCAATATAATATGAAAAAGAGCAATTAAAAGCAGAAAATCATCAAATATTGTATAAAAATTCATTTAAAACAGTCTGAAAGTCAAAATTATAAGTAGTTAGTTAGATTTTGGTCGGATTTCAGTTAGATTTCAGTCATTAGTTGATTTTAGTCTTGTTATAAACAATCTGAGGAGTTTGAAGTCCTGAGAAGTGTTAAGGATCCTAATTGTTGAAGTGTCAAGAAGTGGTGTACAGAATCTAGCCATATTAACCAGCAATTTTAATTTTACGTGACGAATTTTCCTCAATTCCTATTCGTTTTTGCAAAATTATCATGTGTTTATCCTGCTAAATAAATCAGCAACTTCACCATCATGAATTCCCCACCGGAAACTGTGCTCCAGCAAACTTCCATATCGACAAATTGTGAGTAATCACAGGACCCGAAATGCGATGCAGAAAAGAAGTGTGAGGTTATGCGAGTGTGATGAACTTTGTCGGTGTGTTTTAAGCTCTGACGGAGGGGCGGTTAAGAGGTTGAACGGTGGCAAAACATGGCAATTGAGTTAAAGCTCGGCGCAAGTTTGAGGCGAAGCTCTGTGTGTGTGTATGAAGGTTTCCATGCCGGTGGAGCCTTAATTAGTTTTAGGTCGCCGTCGCAATAATTGTGCGGAATGGAATTAAATTAAATTAGATGCTGATGAATTTAAATAAAATAACTGCCCAGGACCGCAGAGTGAATTTCCTCCACCCGAAGCCACTCTCTCCGCGTGACCACGAGGGTGGTTCGAATGGCACAGTCATGGAAATGGCACCCCATGTAACTCTTCCCTATTCTTCCCGAGCCGTGCCGTGTGTGGTTTTGGCCGTAAATTTCACAAGTGCCAAGCTATTAGTTTGAATTATGAATTAGGACACACGCTGGGGAGTGAGAATGGGTGAAACACTGGAAATATGTTCGTGGCTTTAGATAATTCACCAACTTCATCTCGGCAAAACCCACACACACACACTTTCCTCACACGACGCCGTGGAAGTGCTCTGGGGGTAAGAAAAGAAGAGCGATTTCAATTTCCCCAACATATATTACTTTCTTGTGCGACTCTCCAACTTGTGTATTCACATCTCCTCCTTCAGCCAGCCCCAAGCCAAAGGGGTTGGGGGTGAGCGCCTCCAGACCAGCGAAACGACAGCATATCTCGTGGCTCTATCAATTGACAGACACTAAGCATGGGAACAGTGGAAACCGCACCGCAATCCAAACATGTCCCCCATCACCCAGTCGAGTAGTAAATAATTAAAGTTTTAGAATCACATAAACTTCTATCGCACTTTTGCCCGTCGCCACGAGAGACAACAATAGACAAGTGGGTACCCTCATCAACATCCCCATCCGGAATATCTTTATTAGTTTTCCGATGGCGCTGCGGGGGGCGGAATGCCGCCCACACCAACATCCACACAGCCCCACAACTATAGACAAATCACCCCCATTTCAGAGACATATTTCTCTCTCTCTCTTGGAATATTGCGATTACTCGCAAACACAAGCGCTCAATGGGTTATAAATTGAGATTATTGCTTCATTGATGAAGCCTTCCGAAGCTGTGCGGCAAGTTTTCATCCCCCAACCCTCGACAACACTTGTATCCTCTTCCCATGTTGCTAATTTTCCTCGCAATTCCAGCGACAAAGAGTCATTTATCTCAGACACAAACCATCAGAATCGAAATATCAAGATTTCAAGACACACACACATACAAGTTATCAAAGCTGTTGCGGTGAAGAGAAAAAAAAGAAACCTCATCAAGACAAAATGTCAGGCTTGAGGAGAGAAGATAAAGGTCCTTTTCCTGGGAGAAAATATAACAACGTCAGCCTTTGTTTAATTTTTCCTCCTCTGAGCATTTTTTCCCGTCCTGGACTCCTTCTGAACAATCATCCTTGGGCACGTGACAGCATCAACGACACGTGGATTAATCCTCAACTGTGTACCTTTCTTCTTCCTTGGTTCACACTCTCGGCGGGCCTGATTGATTAACTTTGCGGAGAGAAATGGGCTCGGCGATGGCGAGAGATTTTTGGGGAAAACTTTCTCATATTTTCCACGCATTTGCCTAATTTTTTTAAAAAAAAAACAGTCCGCCAAACGGAAACGCACACAAGCGACACAGATTTATCCTCCGCTGGGACTTTCTGGGACGCACGAAAAACGAGCATAGTGAATGGTGTAATAATGCGAATGGCATAAAAAATTCGCATGAAATGAAATTTCTGCGAATGCCACAAAACAAAAGTCATAAAAATTTTATACTTGTCGAGAAGGACATTAAAAGTAACGTGAAAATAAACGCTGAAGGGGCGGAATCTTATTCCTCTGGATTCTCCCAATTTCGCCCTGTTTTTTTCTCTTCCTTTCTTCCTTTCTGTGGCAAACTCGAATTTGTGTGAGATGTTTTTTTTTTTGGGTGGAAAAGTGAAAGTCACTGAGCGAAAGAATCTCACTCTCTCTCTCTGCCGGCTTTTCATCTTTTGTGTGAGAGGAGATTTTTTTTTTAATGAATCCCGCGCCACATCATCTGCAGAAGGAAAATCTCAATTTATGCTGAAATATTTCTATGGCGATGCCTGAAATACTCACATGTTGGATAAGGTCAGTTTCAGACATTCTTTTGCACTCTCATGGTGTGGATTTTTGGGTGTGAGGCCAAAAGTACACCAGGAAAATTAATTTTTTTACTCTCCCCTTCTCCACACTTTGGAAAAGGCATTTTGGTTGAAGGGAAGAAACACAGGCGAGAAGTGATACTGGAAATCTTGCGTGTGTTATTTAATCAAACCAAAAAATAAATCACATATAGACTCCATCGCACTCATGTAAAATGCAGAGCTTTCCGGAGGGACGAAAGAGAGAGAGAGAGAGAGAGAGAGAGAGGGTGTACAGCATTTTGCCGAGTCGCTCAGGACTTTAGACGTGTCTAAAAAATCCCCACCCACTCGCCGCCTGACGCAATATAGCACACAAGCTCTCACGTTATTCGAGGGAGCACATAATTCGCTTGTAGACAGTGCGAGAATATCAAAGAGCAATTTTACGCTTTTTGAATATTAAGATATGCTTTTAAAAAGTAAATATGTTCCCTCTCAGTCGTTGCGCTGTGGACGAGGCACAAGCGCGCCACACGATAAGCCCACCCACCACACTGTCTCGCTGGGCTCCTTGCGGGGGCCAATTTTGCTCACGCGGGACGGCGAGTGTGTCGGGCATGGCCGCATGCGGGAGCGCAAATTCTGCCAACGCATGAAGCTGTGCGCGTTCGCTGCTCACACGCCGGGAAATGTGTGTGCTCAAAAGGTGGAAAATAAATGCCAGCACAATGCGTACATCATTCTTGAAGCACTGTATGACTTCTCCCCATTTTTTATCCACCACCCCCTCTTTTGGAGTCGGCCCGCAAATCACGACAATGGGATGTGTCAAGTGAGGTCAAGAGGACACATGTGAACAACGGTGGCAGGCACGAAAAGTCCCCCCATTTAATCACGACAGAGTGGCACGCTTTTCAATGTTCACTCATGTGGAAATCCATTATGCATATCAGTGATATATTTTTATGATGAAAAATACTGACGGGAAGCTGTGGATTTTGTCTAGCAAGAGTGCTCTCGCCTAATCGACTTTTGGGCTGTGCGAAAATGAATTTTCCATCACTGATTGTGCCCATTCAATCAACGGAATTTACTAAAATCACAAAATCTGCCGTGAATTTTTACCATTTTTGCTGCATCGCATTCGATTGTCGACGCGTTGATTAAATGTGATGAGAATCATAGGATAATAATTACTAGCAATTACAGCAAACCACTGAAATATGAAGCAATAAATGTGTAAATTACAACTACTATTGCTACAAATACTTATTGCTTTTATTGCGATTGCTTTTCTGCAGCCAAATCCAAGGGAAAGATACTAAATGTCCTCAATCGTACACCATTTTCTTAACACTGGCAGCAAAATAATATTTTTAGACTGTTTGAATCCACTTAAAAACCCCTTTTGGGTATTTTTCCGTCCATAACCTCAAAATATAAGCAAAAAATCTTTAAAGATTCAGCTTGAAAGCTTTCTAAATCACAAAATCATCTGTTAAGATTTGACAATGATCTCAAAATTGTTGATTTAGACTCCAAATTGTCAAGAAAGTTTTCTAAATGAACATTTTCCAAGATCAAATGATTAATTTTGAGGTTATGTTCTACTTAAATACAATTTGCAGTGTTTCTTGGTATCAAATGTTGAGAAAAGCAATGTTTATTGCGCGAAAAAGCTTAATCGGACTTGAGCATAAGAAATGACGAGCTAGAATGCGAAATTCTTACTAAATCTGCTATAGATTCTTTACATAACCTAAAAAAAAGATTGTTTTTATTTTTTCTGCATAAAAATCGAGAGAAATCCAAAGAATCCTCTGATAACTGGAAGGAATATTGTAAGTTTTTGAACACTTTCACTGACTAACACTCCCACTTGATCTGTACACCTCTTCTGACTGTATTATCTGCCCCTTGGTTGAACCAATGAAGGCATTGACAATGCATATACATAAATAGTTTATGTGCCTAAAATTCTCAGTACAAATTCAATTAATTTGCAGCCTCAACATGAACTTACAAGTGCATCTTTGCTAGTGAAACTCTTCAGCACGAGCGTATTGCAGAAAGTTTGCCTCATTTTCCTTTCAATCCACTTGAAAGTTGTTCCTGATTTGAAGGCGGCGTGAGGAGTTCGGAGGAGGAAATTCCTGGAAATGTCAATAGGGATCTGGGGAAGCTTTCATCACTGGAAAATCGATCACTGGGGGGAATTAATTAATAAATAACTCAGCCTCTCGAGTGAGAGAGACAGGACTCTTCAATATTCCATAGAGTGTTTACCTTCTGGCACACGAGCGCACACAAATTTCACCCCCGCCGCTGCCGAAGGTGTTGACTGAATTTATCGGATGTGAATTAAAGTGATGATAAGGGAAAAACAAGTGAGACAGAGTAATTCTTGCACGCCAAAGTGCGGCAAACGTGGAAGTTAAGCAGAATTACTTTTTAGATGCGCTCTTCTTCGCCCCCTTCTTGGCTTTATCGCTCGCGTTCTCCTTCTCAATTCGCGCCTCCATCTCCAGCTCCAGGACACGCTGCCGACGGCGTCCCAGCGGCGTCTTGCCCCACCACACCAGGAACGCCTCCTCCTCCTCCCGATACACCGGATCCTTCGTGCTGCAAGGCAGGAAGTGATGAGTGAACGCGCGGCGCGGCGAAGTTCGCGATTCACCTTCTCACCTCAGGGAATTTATGAGCTCCACGTGAGTCAGCGGCTGCAGACGCAGCTGAAGCATCCTCTTGCACGTTATCACCTCGCGGAGACACTTCACCACGGAGCCGATGGTGTATCCGTCTGAGATCTTCGCCATGGCGCCGGAATCGAAGGTGCTCTGCACGCCGCTGTACTGACTCAGCAGCGTCTTCCACGCGTACGAAAGTGTGCCGTAATCCGGACGCGGAATGTAGATGAATCTGTTGTACGCCTGCTGCAGCAGCTTCTGATCCGCCTCCCAGGGCGCAAAGGAGGTCCCAATGAACATGACTCTGTCCTCCGGACCGATGTTCTTCACCAGCTTCGGCAGATCCTTCTTCAGTCTCTTCGGATCCGTGCGATCTGTCTTCGGCACTTTCTTCATGAACGGCTTCTCAGCGTCGCCCATGTAAATCACTGACGGCTGCAGCAATCTGGACACCTTCGACACCAGATGCATCAGCATGATCAGGCCAGACTTTCCCGGATACTTTCCCACAATGTTCGCCGGTGTCAAGTCGAAGAGCGTGCCGCCGACTTCCGTGCAGATCGCATTGACCAGCGTTCTCTTCCCGGCGCCTTTCGAGCCAGTCAGCAGGATCGATCGCACGCAGGGCGCGAAGTTCCTCACCACCTCAGAGCCCAGCGGAAGGATGCACAGCTCCGTGACCACCTGACGAATGTCTCCCGGCGTGGGATTGATCCCAGATCGCGCCACGTACGATTTGTCCCCCAGGAAAGTCTTGAGCGGCGTTTCCGGATACTTCTTGATGATCCCATTCATGAAGAGCTCCTCAAACAGCGACTCAGTCGTGCGATCGGGCGTGAGATCCTTCTCCTTCTTCTTCTTGCCCTTCTTCCCACTCCGACGCGCCTTCTTGTTGCTCTTCTTCACCTTCTTCCCCTTCTGCGCCCGATCTCTGTCCAGCGCCTGCTGCAGCAGCTCCAACTCCTGCCTCATCATGTCGTCCACCACCTTCCGCAGCTCATCCTCCACCTCTGCGTACTTCTCATTGAAGATCATGTCCTCATAGTGACTCTGTCGCGCGTTCAAGGTCTCGTCCTTGTCTCGCCACGTGTCGTTGAACTCCTCAATGCCCGTCTTCAGTTCCGGCAGGAAGCTCGATTGTGCCGCTTTGTAGCCATTCTCAAAGGTGTCCTCGACATTGATATCGCCCGACTTGACGGCGCTCTTGGACTTGTCCTTCGCCTTCTTCGACTCCTTCGACGACGGCGCCGAGGATCTGCTCATCTCGCTCTCCGTGCCTTGGCGACTCAGCAAATGCCTGGATCCGCCGTGCTCCTCGGACGGGAAGTCAGGCAGCTTCCCTGTGCGTCCCTTGTACTCCTTGAACCAGTTCCTAATCTCATCCGCGATGTCCTCCGTGATCACAGAGCCCTGCTTCGTGTTGATCTCCTCTCGCGTCTCCTGCAGCGCCTTGTGGAACTCCGCCTGATACTCCTCCTGAATCCTGTAGCGCAGCTGTGTGAGCTGTGAAAATCCAATTGAGAAGGGGAAATCAATCAGAGGGATAATTGGCGTGAACACTGCCAAGGGGGAATTAATGTACATTCTCACTCTTCTCCAGGCACTCCGCTCGGGTGGATGTGAGCGGCGGAATCATGCCAATGAGCACCATTTCCTCCACCTTCCGCCTGCGCGTCTTCTTGCGGGTGGCGAAGCCGCGCCACACCTTCTGAATCTTCATGGCGGCAATCAATCCCGAATCGCTCTTGTCCTTCCCACTCTCCGGCTTTCCCTTCTCCTTCAGCAGCCGAATCTCCTTCATGAACTGCGCCCTCAGCCGCCCCTGGCGCGCCCGCTCGTGCATCTGAATCACCCTGATCGCCTCCAGCTCCGTCATCTTCTCCTCCTCCTCCTGCTCGTCCAGACACCCCAGCTTCTTCAGGATCTCATCCATCGTCTCGCGACGCTGCGCCAGCTCGCGCTCGCGCTCGCGCCGGAAGTAGCGCGGCACGCGGATCTCAATGTCCAGCGGCGTGAGGCCGAGACGCTCGATCACGTCGTCGTTGTAGCTGAACTCCATGATGTCGATGTTCACCAGGTCACTCTTCAGCTCCACAACTCTGCCCAGGCACGCGTCCAGCACCTTCCGCACCAGCAGACGCTTCTGCGGCTGCACCATCTGGTCGTAGATCTCCTCCAGCTTGTTGGCGATGCAGATGTACTTCACGTACAGCTCGAAGATCGCCGTCTGCGCCTCCGCCTTGTCGAACTGCGCCTCGAGTGCCTGATTCTCGAAGTCCGACACAGCCACACTCTCCAGGTGCCGCTGTGTCTCATGCCACAGCTTATTGTACGTGTAATTGGACATTTTTCGCGCACTTCCGCCACTTTCACGAGATCTGCAGGCAATTTAATCGATGGCCAAACAATTGAGGCATTGTTTGGGCCAAAAATCACCGCGCCATGGAAACACACGCGCGCGCGTCTCTAAATCACACACAACCAGCCGTGACGATGCCTCAATGAGCCCATTGATTGGCAAACGAAACACTTCTTCCACTGTATAGCCATCGGTGTGTCTATTGGGATGGAAGAAAGTTTCACTCCTCGCACGATGTTGCTCGAGGGCTTCCAACTTTTCACTCCCATTCGGCGAGAGCGAAAGATTCAAGCGCAATGTTTCACTCCACGTGTTGCGAGTTTAATACAATACCAGAGATTAATTGTGCACAATGTGCAGGTTGAAGTGTTTTAAGAGTATTTAAGGCTTATTGATAAGCATTCTCTCAACTTTGCAGCGAAGTTTTGGGGCTTTTGTGCGCTAAAAGCACTGAAAAGTGATTTAATTTTAGGGAAAACCCTTTTTTGAGAGGTATTTTAGCTGTTTTACTGTGTGAAAAGACACGAATAATGGCCACTATTGGCTACTTTTGAAGAAAAAAAACAAGACATTCTTACCATTCTTACAAAATCCACCTGAATTTCAATCCCATCAGCAGAGAAACTGCTTCGCATCTCATCGCTTGAAGCGCAGGTGAGTTGTGATCATGAATGGGTTAAGAAAACCCGCTCTTCTGGCTCTCTTTCGCACCTGAGGATCACCTGTGAGTGCGTGGGCCAGTGTTTGGGCCACCCAAGAAAGCAGCTGTGAACTTTCTTTGCCGTCGCCGCCGAGAGGCGAATGTTTCAGGGAAGCTTTCATTGAGTGAAACTTTCGCGATCGATCGCGGAGAGACACGCAAGATGCGGATGACGATGATGATGATGGGAAAAAGGTGCTGGACTCAATCGCACCAGTTAGAGAGAGATTGCGGGGCCTCAGTTGGATTCGCGACGCTGCTGAGGACGGTCAATTCGTGGGCGCAAGAAAGTGCGAAGAAAAATGCGACACGCGACAAAGGCAGTGAGTAAAAGTGACCAAGTGACTCGTGGTGTTCAATATTCAGCGGCAGTGGCGCTGCTCTTGCTCATCAATTTCACCCAAAATGGTATGGCAAAGACGATCCAATGCGATCGCGCGCGCGCACTGTAAGAATCCAGAGCAATGTGTCTCGACTCTCTTTGTTGCGCATGTATTTCCAGTTTGGTGCGGCAAGAGCGTTTCCTGCATCGAAGACGGGCGCTTCTACCGCAATCCCGCGCGCCCAGTGCACAAGATGTGGTCCAACGGCGAGTGCTCCAAGTACTACCTCTGCCTCGAGGGGGAGGTGTTCGAGTTCAAGTGCTCCGTTGGACTCCTGTTCGACGTCACGCGCCAGATCTGCGACTTCAAGAGCAATGTCGATAATTGTGATATAACAGCCGGTCAGTATTATGACTCGCGAGTTTATTGCACTCCGCCAATGACTTTCATTTCCCTCCTCGGCCGTTTATCTGTCGCATCAAAAATTTCACACTTTGTCTTTCTCTCGCCGGATTTCTCCCCGCGCCAAGGGGCAAATATCACGCCCAGAATTGCTCTACAATTGATCTTACTTATGACTGAATATCATCTTGAAATAGAAGTTCTTGCACTGGAAATGAAATTATTGGCCTTTTTGGCGCGTTTTCTCTCAATAAAATCACAATTTCAGACGATTTGGGGTATAAACCCACGTTAAACCAAACATAACCTCAAAATTTTAATTCAATCAATTACAGTTTTAAAGTAATTTAAGAACACTTAACAAAATTGTGCGATTATTAGTGCAAAATCATAGAAATTGCCTGAAAACCTTGGTTAAGAAGTTGTGAGTTAGATTTCGGTTAGATTTCAGTCATATTTCAGTTGGTTTTCAGGGTGATCGAACCGAAAGCTGAATTTTCGACTCAATATCTTTGGTTTTACCCTCATTTACCATTTTACTCAAATAGTAATCGCTCTTTGTCGACATTTTGCAGAGCCTCTCGTGCCGAAGCCGCTGCTGACCAGCGCCAACTGCTCGGATTGGAGCCACTTGGGCTGTGGCGATGGGACTTGTCTGCCCAGCGAGTACTTCTGCGACGGCAGTGTCGACTGCCCGGACGGATCCGACGAGGGCTGGTGCGACGTGAGCAACGATCCCAACGCCGCCTCGACCTGCGATCTCTCCATTTGCCAGCTGCCCGAGTGCTTCTGCTCCAAGGACGGCACGATCATCCCCGGCCGCCTGGACGCCAGCCAAGTGCCGCAGATGATCCTGCTGACCTTCGACGATGCCATCAACTTCGAGAACTGGGACTTCTACACCAAGAAGCTCTTCACGCCGGAGCGCAAGAATCCCAACGGCTGTCCGATAAAGGTGAAATCTCTGATTTGACGCAAGTAAAAAAAAAACACACACACACGCGTGACTCTCCCAAGTGCGTCGCAGAAATTGCGGCAAGAGTGAAATTTCGAAATGTCTCCGATTTTCCCAACGAGTCGCATTTTTTGCAGCTGCACTTTTTTCATCAACATCTTGAGACTCACCATAAACATTTCCCCCACCCTGTTTTTTCTGTCTTTGCATGTTGCGTTTGGATGTCCGATAGGCGACTTTTTACATTTCCCATCAATACACCAACTATCAACATGTGCAGAAGATGTGGAATGATGGACACGAGATTGCCGTGCACTCCATAACGTGAGTCAATTATTCAATTGAGTTGTGACAGCATCTCTTGGCGCCACGAAACTCCATTCCTTCCGATTTCACCCTCGAACGGCCGTCCAAATGAGCACAAGACATCACTCACTCTCATTTCGGGAAACGTTTGGGAAACCATTGGGCGAAGGCTGTGATGATTAGAGCGAAGGATGTTTTGTGAATTCCTCGGAAAAACCCATCGAAGAGCGCGTTTTCCCAGAAAAAAAAGCAAGGCGAAGAAGCAGAGTTGAGAGATTGATAGATTGTAATTGTAATTGTGTGAGTTTCAGCCATAAACAAGGGGGAAATATTGCAATTGGAGCGGCGTACGCCTCACTGGATATTAAATATTTGCAATATTTCCATCTTAGAAGGTTTATTTTGTTAAATCAAGGCGTTAACTATTAAATTTCCTTGATTTTTTGCTGAGAAAAAATGATAAAAGACAATTTGACAGTTTTTATAGGTTATGCGACTGTTTAAAACCAAGTTTCAGTATCTAAAAAACTTTGAAATACTACTATTTTTTAGTATAATTTTGAAACCCTTTTTTATCAGCAGAATATAACATTTGTGCTTTAAGAAAATTGCTATTTACAAACCTATGCTTAGAAAACAGAGCTAAAATCAAACATAACCTCAAATATTTCAGTTTGAATATGATTTTAAAGTTTCATTATGCTTATTTTGCGCTCATTGTCAAATCAATCTACTTTTTATCGTAAATATTTGCTCTTTTGATGCTGTGAATAACATTTTTAAAAACCTTTTAATATTGTTTTTGACGAAGTTTGAGGTTATGATTCTATAAGTTAGTAAAAACGGCATTGAAAACAGTAGATTTTTACACAAAATATCGCCTTGAAAGCAGAATCAAGTTGAGTTAAAGATTTTCCATAGAAATTGAGTTAATTCCAGTTAATTATCTCCTCCTTGCGCATAAAAATCGCCAGAACGTTTCCAATCCCAAAAGCATCAATTCCTCATCCATCAGCTTTCTCACGAGGCTCGTAATAAGAAAATATCGATCGTAAATCGTCAAAATTGCCTCTCTAATGATTGACTTAAGCATGGGAAATTTGCATCTCTATAAATTACTTAATTGACCCGCCAAATAAGCTGAAGTGCTTCGCGGTGTCGCGAAGTGTTGTCTGGGTGAATTAATCTCCTCAAAATTGTAAAATATGGCATGAATAAGTTAATTAGTGGGTGTAATTACTCTCCACCGCGGAGGAGATGTTAATGGTCGGCCGAATGACCATAAAAGCGATCTGCTGCAGCCGTAAAATGTATTTCAATTTTGCCCAATTTTTCCTCCGACAACCGCAATTTTCTCCCATTTTATTGGGCCATTTTCCACCCCCTTTTTTTGCGCCAGAGACACGCAGGGATAAATTGTTAATGGTGCAATTTCACGAGGAGCTTTCTCGCCCCGAGACGCACTGAGAATAATGAGACTCTCTTCTTCTGCTTCCCATTTCGCATAAACAGCCATCGCGGACCCGAGGAGTGGTGGTCGCGCAACGCCACGATCGAGGACTGGTTCGACGAGATGGTCGGCCAGGCGAACATCATCAACAGGTTTGCCGGCGTGCGAATGGAGGAGCTGCGCGGCATTCGCGTGCCGTTCCTGCGTGTTGGCTGGAATCGCCAGTTCCTCATGATGAAGGAGTTCGGCTTCGTGTACGATTCCTCAATGGTGGCGCCGTTCTCCAATCCGCCGCTCTGGCCGTACACGCTGGACCACAAGATGCCGCACGCGTGCATGGGCGTGAACCAGAACTGCCCGTCCAGGAGCTACGCCGGCATCTGGGAGGTGGTGATGAACCAGCTGGAGGCCGGCGAGTTCACGTGCGGCATGGTGGACACGTGTCCGCCCAACATGAACGGCGACGAGGTGTACAGGATGTTCACGCACAACTTCAAGCGCCACTACCTCACCAACCGGGCGCCGCTGGGCCTCTTCTTCCACACCACGTGGTTCCGCAATCCAGACTACATGGACGCCTTCATGGTGAGTGGAGACACTTCTTCAGTGTCATTTGATAATGAGTGGTTCAAGTGAGAAGGAAGAGTTCCTTCTGCTGTATTCTGTGCAGAGAATGCTAAAACAGCTGAAATGCAGTTAAACTGCCATTTTTTTGAGCAACTAAGGCAATTTTTTGTACTCTTTTAAGGTATTTAAGCCTATTTCTATTACCAATTAAGTCATGGCTTTTGAAAATCTGTGCTCAAGTTTAATCCCAAGTAAACGTAGTGGAATAACTCCCTAAGAGCGATTACAAACTTGCGGGTTACCCTCCAATTGACGCTAACTGGGATCAATCCTCCGTGGATGAGTCTGTAGTATGTAAAGGTCAAATCAGGGATAAATCGTGGTTGATCTGCGCCTTTACACACTCAAAAACTATGAATCAGCCATAATTCGTGGATGAAATGGCGCTAAACACACTCAGGAGTTATTCTTCTTTATCGACACTAGCGACAATTTTCCTTCGTGTTCCGCTCTCAGTTATCAATTAATTTGTTTATTTTATCAAAAAGCATGAAATTTTACGTTAAAATTGTGAAAATTGATGATTCACAGAAGAATTTAATGATTTTAATAATCCAGGAAATTATTCGCAAGAAATCCGCCATTTTGCGCCTTTCCTGAGTCGTGCAATGTTTCGGCGCATTTTCGCACGAACGCGCTGCCGTCGGTAAGCACTGAAAAATCGTCTGAACCTTCGATATATCGAAGAATTATTCGCGTTTTCTGGCTAAGCGAACTGTCAGTCGTTCACACTCGAGCTCTCGCTGAATCTCTCGTGGATAATCCGCTAGTCTGTAAGCGCTTTAAGGCGCTGACCATCCATAGGCTAAGCCGAGGGCGTACTTAGGCAGTTTATATCCACAATAAGTTGCGTAAACACTGCGAAACAACACTTTGATGGCATGAAGATGTTCAGTGTCTTTGAATTTTCGTTAAAATTATCACTAAATCAATTTTCAGAGATTAAAAATCATTTAAAGTCTTCATTCAGAAGAAATTTTTGATGCATTGAGGTGATTTCTGACCTCAAAAACTCCTTCAACCCCTAAAACTGACATTTTTTAACTCAGAAATTCCACGGAAATGCTTAAATGATGCTTTCAAAAGCACGAATTGTTGAACAAGAATGTTAGTCAATAAATGCTATTTGATTCTTACGAATTATCGAGAAACTTATCGAGAAAAGCATTGGCAATATAAGCAAATTGAAGAAGTTTTAAAAGTTATGCCTTAACGATTTTATGCACTTTCTTAAACTCAATAAATTATGGCTAGATTTTTCAATGAAAATTGTCTGAAAAGTCTTTTTTTAAGCGGTCTGGCAAAGTTAAAAAGCATTCTTTGTGCTGTCGAAGTTTAACATTTATTTATACATTTAATTTCACCACAAAATCCAATACTTTCGCAAATTCAAAATGCACACGAGTTACGTGAATATAAATCAAGCCTTCAGTCTGTGAAATACCTGTAATTAATACCATTACGAAATTATTAATTGATGGAAAAACTTTGCAAAATTAATTTGATAGATATTTATTGAATAATTCACTTATTAATTTGTCACTCGAAATTGCAATAAATTCTTTTTTCGTCGCTTCTGTTTCAATGCAAAAATTAATACCTATTTTGTAAATGTGTGAAAGTTCTATGAAATTCATTATAGTGAAAATTAATTTAGTGCATTTAATTATTAGTTGGAAAGATTTCCCAATTTGAAAATTCGCTTCTATTATTATTATGATGATCATGATTATTGTGATGCAATTTTATTCGCTGAGAGGATCGAATGTCCATCGGCCACGGTTGAATTCTGTTTGGATGCAGTGAATTAAAGAGAAATTTAATATTATTCAATCAAATTGATGCTGTCAATTGCATCTGCTCAAATTAATGCTGTTCGTGATTTTGTGTTGCATTTGGTGCAAATCGCGAAGTGTTTCATGCCAAGAAGCAGATATTTAAGTCAGAAGTGATTATTTTGAATATTTTGCACTGCAAAAGCTCTTGTTTCAACAAATTTAGTCATTTTCTAAATTATTTTGCTTAGAAAAAAATCATTTTATTGCTTTTTCAGGTTATGTGATTGATTTAGAACCAATTCTGGTGTTTAAATAACTCTCAAAATCATCATATTTGTCTTTAATCTGGGAATATTTCTCTTTTTCTCGGCAAAGTTGAGCTTTTTCTGTTTAAAATAACTTCACATTTGGTAAGAAGAAGCTTAAAAGTCAATCATAACCTCAAAAATTGCATTTCAATCTAGAAAATTGTCTTTTTCCTTAGTTATTTCCGTGTTTAGTGCCTTAAATTGACAAATTCAACGTCATTATTTAAGTAGAAATATTGTGATATTCGCTAAACTTTATCCTTTGGAGGTTTAAACGGATTAAAATTAGTTGAAGAATGATTCTATTTTAAGCCGAAATCATTTGGTCTGAAAACTATAAGCATTTGAGAAGCTTAAACCACTGAAGAAATGAGTGTAAGAAAGGATTGAAGGAGTCTAAAATGCGGTGATTTCGTGCACAAATCAAAGCATTGATCGTCTTTGCAGCGCTTCCTGGACGACATGCGGCGAATGCCTGACGTGTTCTTCGTCACCACGCACGAGGCCATCGAGTGGATGCGGAATCCGACGCCGCTGGGCCAGATCGGCCAGCTGGAGGCGTGGAGTTGCAAGGCGCGCCAGCTGCAACCGCACGAGGTCGCGTGCAACCTGCCCAACGTCTGCAAGCTCCACAGTCGCGTGCTGCAGCAGGATCGCTATCTGCACACGTGCAGCGAATGCCCGGCGCAATTCCCGTGGCTGCGGAACGAGTTCGGCCTGGATTGATCATCCCCAGCGGAGAGAGTCGCTCATTTTCCCACTGAACGCTCTGCTGGGCAGCGCGTCTTCGTCGCCCGGCGAGCGTCTGTTATTTATGCTGCATAACATTATCCCTGCTCTTGCACTGGAGACACATACACACATCGCCTCCTTTTCCCCAGTTGTATTTAAGGAATAAAAGCGCGCGACATGAAAAAAACCCCACCCCCGAATTTTCCCTCCGTCGCGCGCCGTGAAACTTATTTAACATGCCGGAAACAAGTTGTACGCGAAATGAGGTAAAAAAACACCCCCAGAAAACGCACACAGAAGAGAAAAGACGCGGAAAAAAGCGACGAGAGACAACACAGTGTCATTGGTGAATTTTCCAAAGGCTCCCCTCTCGTGCCTGCTAATTAATGACGACACACAATTTTGCTGTGAAATTAATTAACCCCCATTTAACCACTCCGAAGCGACCTCAATTTGTTCGGCGAGCGACCCAACTGAGCCACAAATGCTCGCAGACTTGCTGGACTTTCGCGGAAACTGTCGCAGATTCCGAGGCTCAGCGAAAGGGTGGAACTGATTGCACGAACTTGGATAGTTTATCAGCGAAAAGAAGAGCGTTATAGTCATTTATAACACTTTTATTTCTAGCAAACTAGAGATAAAGGCCTATTTTTGACACCCAATTTACACTAGAAATGTTTATTAGTTCATTCAAATCGAAATGAGCCTAAAAAGACCCTCCGAAGCACTTGTCAACTGGTCAGCGTGACCAGATGACAGCTGTCAAACCTGTCAAACCCTTACAAAAGACACACGGACGCCAGAGACATCTATATCAGCCGAAAGACAGTCGTTAGAGTGAAGGAAGTTGAATTTTCTAATTTGATGGGCAAATGCGCTTTATGAGCGTGAAAATCGCATCTGAAAATTCAATCTAGACTGGAAAAGTCATATCAATTCGTAAAAAAATCAGTGGATTATAAAGTTTTCCAATTAAACTGTTATGAATTGGCCAGATTGACCAGTTGGATTGAAGGAAATCTTGCTCTTTATAAGTATTAAGAAACTGAAAGTTTAGTCGAAGTTTAGTTGCAATTTATGGCTCTTCTTAATTTAATACTGAATACTTAACTTTCCAATTCGACGGGTGCCCCGAAGACTATCAAAAGTCAAAATCGCCATTTTTCAGTAGAGCGATTTGAAGTTTGAGAGTTCATTTAGCTTTGAAATTTTCCTTATTTTCCCATAAACTCTCTGTTATCTTTCAGTAAATTGATAAAATTGCTCAATTCTATTTTTATGTAATTTTTCCCAGGTTTTTCCACTGTTATTTGTTGAAATATTAACTAAAATACGAAGAGTTGATTGACGAATTGGAAAAATTTGCTACAATAAGTCGGTTTTTGATAATTTTTGTGTATTTTTGTATTCAAACAATTCGTAAACATCAACTTTTTACATTTTTCCTGCCCATTTTTTCACACTTTCGTCTACCGTCTATAAACCGAAAGACACTCACGAAGGGTTTCTGGCTTGGTTTCTTGTCAATTTAACAGTGAAAAGATTTAAAACTGCAAAATTGAGGTCTTTTTAGCTCATCGAATAATAATTATATAATTCCGATCAGGATGATTTGTGCGGCGAAAACTATTAAAAGTCGACTTTTCATACTTTTCAACGCAACATTGAGAAATTTTCTACACGCGGAGTTTTTAAGAAAAATCTTATTTCTTTATTTTTTGCCAATGCACTCAATGTAATGTTTTCACACGTGATAAGAAGACATTAAGATCAATCCAAACAGACATAAGACGTCAACTATCCAAAAACGACTTTTGATAGTCTTCGATTCACCCGTCGAATTCCAGCACACTACAGAGCGTTATTGCCTTGCTTCAACTTTACACTGTTGAATCGCACACATATCAAATTTTCTCGCATTATCTAATTAATTCACCCGAAATTGGACATTGTGCGACCCTGGAGAGCGTCTTGAAGCGAGAGAGAAGGTGGGAAAGCGAGCGTCTCTCAGGGCCCCATTTTCCACCGGAGCGCCACTTAACTGCGCCATAAAACAGCCATTTTATCTGCACGCTGGGAAACTCGCCGGAATTCCCTCTTCCTGCCGCCCAAATCAATGGGGACACACGTTCGCCACCCGGACCAGCCGAATAATTGCCACTTGCCACAAACTCCAGAGTCGAAATAATAATTTAATTGCAACTATATGAGCGAGTGTCGAGGGAACTGTGCAAATTCCACCGGCGACGCGTGCTTAATCCCGACGCCAGGAGAGCGGGGCGACGTCCTCGTGGAGTTGTTGGCCCGAGTGATGACAAAACTTTTATGATTATCCCAGAGTCCTCACGCGAGCGCCGCGCCCCCGCCGCGCGCGCGTCCCTCGGCGTCCGAGCGACGTGCAGAAATGATGGAATGTCCCTTAAAACATCATCTCCCCAGCGGACGTGTGTCCATCAATGCTCGCTTCCGTCGCCGCGCGTCCAGAGGCGGAGCGCGCGGACTTATTTGCACATCTCCGGACGCACTGCACTCGCGCCATTGCAAGGACGTGCGCCAGGAGCGATTCCTCTCCATCCACTTCCCTCGAGAGTCCGTTTTGCGACAGTGTGGCAAATATTGTGACAAGAACACTTTGGCCCAGAAGACTTCTGCAGAAAGTGTGCCAAAGGTCAGAAGCCTTGCACAAGAGATTTTCTGGCCCCTCTCGAGAGCGCTAATTAAATTGCGCTCCCCCCCCCCGAAAAGGATGAGCGGGGATGAGTGAAATGAAAGTAGAGCTGAAAAAACAGTGAAATTCCATTTGTTATCGAGCTTCGGGGCGTTTTTAACGTGATTTCATCTTGAATTTCAATATATTTCTGTCAAATTACCAATTGATTTTGCAATTAAACTCATTGAAATTCATTCAATACCAAAGCAAAGTGTAGATTTTCATACAGGAAAGCTGAGATTTTTTAGGGGAAATGCGGGAAATGAGAAATTTGGTGAAGATTTCAAAGCTAAAAGCTCACTTTCAACGTCGATTTTTGCTAATTTCCCCACAAAATGCTTCTAAAAGTGCGCTTTTTCATATAAACATTGAAAGAAAAATAATCTATAGACTTGTCTTATGACATTCCAAGAGATGTTCTTAGAGAAATGTGTAAGACAGTCCAAAGTTGTCACAAGACAACAACTAAACTTATACAGAATTACGTTCTAAACGTATGAAACGGTCTTAAAGCATACAAAACACCCGTTTTCCAATATCCAAAGGATTTTTTTTATCTTTTGAGGTCCTTTTAATAGCTTTAATGATCCATTTATCGATTAATATCGTTGAAATTGACTAAATATTAATGCGGAATGTAGATTTTTATACAAGAGAACTGAATTAATGATTCTATAGATTTATCTTATGACATTCTTAAGGAAATGTGTAAGACAGTCCAAAGTTGTCATAAGACAACGCCTTAAATTATACAGAATTACGTTCTAAACGTGAATAATCCAATGAATTCTTTATCTTTTGAGGTTCTTCTGAAAGCTTTAATGTTTCATTCATGGATTAAAATGTAGATTTTTATACAGGAGAACAGAATTAATAATTCTACAGATTTATCTTATGACATTCTTAAGGAAATGTGTAAGACAGTCCAAAGTTGTCATAGAAAACCACTTTCTAAATGTGAAAAACGGTCCAAAAGCATGCAAAACAACCCTTTTTCCATCATCCAAGGAGTGTTCTTCATCTTTTTAAGTCCCTCTAATGGCTCTAATGATTCATTTTCCCTCCCATCCAATTATCTTCTCTGGCCTCTCTTGCGTCTTGTGATCAATCACACCTCAGAATTCGCCGTGAAAGCAGTGGAAAACCCACCCTTTGGCGCATCCCGCAGAGATTAAAGTTCATCCTGCGGTGTCACACATCCTTCTCAACTAAATTATTTCCCAGAGACCCTTTTTTGCCAATCATCATCAGCTCTTTGCATTTTTCCTGCCATTGTCCGGCCGTCGCCGGGAATGCCATCAATTTATCATGATGACATGAAGCAATCAGTTGCTCTGTGAACTTCTCTCTCTCCCCGGAGACACGCCGAGCGTCCACTTTTGCCAACTATATGATTACTCCTGGGAGCCTCCTTTGGGGCCACAGGCAAAATCACGAGATGCTCTATTGAGATTAAACTCGTTTTTCGCACCGCAGAGCAAGTTTAAATTGCCAGAGAAATTGTATATTTGCACAATTCACATGCACATCATTTGATGGTCCTTCACTGGAGCTTCTCGAAGTGGTACCGGATGTGCTCCTCCACGAAGGACGCGATGTAGAAGTAGCTGTGATCGTAGCCTTCGCGCGTCCGCAGGATGAATGGGAAGTTGGCCGCGCGACAGGCGCCGGCCAGGTTGTCCGGCAGCAGCTGCTGCTCCTTCAGGAACTGATCGGCGTCGCCCTGGTCCAGGAACACCTCCAGCGGCGGCCCGTTGTACGTCTTCACCAGCTCCGTCGCGTCCCAGCTCTTCCAGGACTCGCGATTGGCGCCCAGATAGCCGGTGAACGCCTTCTGTCCCCACGGACAGTTGATGGGATTCGCGATGGCGGCGAAGGTGGAGACGCTCCGGAACAGGCCGGGATTCTTCAGCGCGCACACGAGCGCACCATGACCGCCCATTGAGTGTCCAAAGACGCCCTTGCGCTCCAGATCGCACGGGAAGTTGGCCTCCACCAGCTCCAGCAGCTCCCTGGTCACGTAGCTGAACATCCTGTAGTGCTTCTTCCACGGCTCCTCGCTGGCGTCCACGTAGAAACCCGCGCCGGAGCCGAAATCCCAGGAATCCTCCTCACCAGGCAGATTCACGTTCCTCGGCGAAGTGTCTGGACAGACAATGATGACACCCAACTCGGCGGCTGTCCGCTGACCGCCGGCTTTCTGCACGAAGTTCGCCTCTGTGCACGTCAATCCGCTGAGCCAGAAGAGCACCGGAAGTTTCGCCTCGGCGTCCTGCGCCTGAGGCGGCAGGAAAACCGCGAATTTCATCTCACAAGACAACTCCTTGGACTCGTGCGAGTACACGCGCTGGTCACCGCCGAAGATGCGATTGGAGGACACGAGCTTAAGGCTGGTCATCTGGAGAAATGCCCGGAAGGCAGATAAGAAAGTGAAGGTCAAGGAGGATTTGTGGATTTTCCACTGAATTCTCGAGAAAAACCGTATGACAGCTGAAGAATACAATTTCTGGGATTCTTTACCTTGGATTTGTGTAGAAAAAATGCTTAGAAAACCCGTAAAAGCAGCGAAAATGCGTGAAAAAGCGAGGAAAAGCCGCAAAAACAACTTTCACTGTCAAAGATCACACTGAAGTTCTTACGAAAGTTGGCGGAATTTGAAATCGGACGTTGAAATTCTGAAAAATTCACGCAGCCGAAATGCAGTTTGTGTCTTGGCTCATATTTGGCCAGGAAAAAGAGGGTATCCCTGATTTCCTGGGCATTCCCTGAGCATAAAATATACGCAGGGAACAAGGGAACAATGAAACATCTGATGTTTCATACATGCATGCAGACAAAAAATTTGAATTCATCGGTTTTTAGGTTAGCCGAGACACAAACAGCATTTCGGCTGCGTTTCAGGGAGGATGAAAAATCGAAAAATCACAAGAATTCTCAAAAATAACCATATAATTTAATAAACTCGCCGATAAACTATGCAGAGGCTTTACTATTTGCGTGGTTGCTCGCGAATCTTGTGGTATTCGCGCAGGATGACTTCTCTTCTGGGCCAGATGTGGAGACTTCCGTAGTAGAACCAGAATCTGGAAGCAAGAGAAGGGAGAGAAATCATTCAGAAATCGCCAAAAGGGAGAGAAAACTACTCACAGTCCGAAGAGCGCGCCGCCCAAGTGCGCCGCGTGATCGAAGATCTTCCAGCCCATCGCCAGGCCGGCGATGTCCAGGCCCATGATGCACTTGATCGCCGTGCCGGCGGAGAACGTGAACATGGGCAGGAAGATGATGCTGAGCTGCGTGTCGGGATACTGCGTGCACACGTACGCCAGGATGGCCATGATGGCCCCGGAGGCGCCCAGCGACAGCCCGGCCTGGCGCATGCCCGTCTTGTAGACGTAGCTGGCCAGGGAGGAGACGACGCCGGCGCTGAGATAGACGGCCAGGAACTGTTCGCGGCCCAGCGCGTGAATCGCGGGGCCGGCGAAGGAGCGCAGGACGTACATGTTGGCGAAGATGTGGAAGAGCGAGTAGTGGCTGAAGGTGGAGAGGAACATCGGCCAGCAAATCGCCCTGGCGGCGGGATTGGAGCAGAAATACTTCACCATCGCCGGCTGCAGCCGCGGGACGCGCCACAGGCCGAACACCAGCAGGTTCAGTGCGCAGATGGGCACAAAGACGCGGTCGCCCTCGGGCAGATTCCGCCACCAGGTCTCAATCTCCTGGCGCCAGTTGCTGGCCTTCTTCTGCGTCCCGAAGACTTTGCTCTTGAACCATCCGGCGGCCGCGGAGCCCTTGACAGAGCGCAGGATTCGCGTGCGCACTCTCTCGTACTCCCAAATCGTCACGCCGACGAAGCTGCCCGTGGACAGCGCCAGGGTGAAGACCAGCGGCTTCCACAGTCGCGCAGGACTCAAGTTTCCGCCTTCCGGAGAGAACTTCTCGAAAGGCGTGGGCGCCGGCGTCTGGGCGGGACTTCTGCTCTCATTCTTGAATTGTCTGCTCACCAGATTCGTCCGCGAGTGACTGGTTCTGTGGAATAGTTGCTGCTGGCCGGGATTTTGCCTACAAAAGACGTCCGGAAGCGTGTTTTTGTCTGATGCAATTTCGAGGTTAATTGTGTCTCACCTCAGCAATCCTGGGAATCTGGCAGCATTACAGAAATGCCTGATGATCATATCGACAGAGATACTTTCCCTCTACTATACGCAACTCATAGTAGATTAGATAAGGATGCAGAACGAGGATAAATCCCTAGAACAGCCGGATGCAAACTTTCACTCCCGCAGGAAAAACACAGCAGATCGCAGCCAACTTCGCGTCACTTGATTAGCGCGCCAAAAAGAACAAATTCAAGATTTTCTCCGCTTTATTGGCCACAATTTGGGGGTCATCACGCCTTCCCGGCGTCCTCCTTCAGCGTCACGGTGCGGTTGAAGACCAGCTTGTGCGGCGTCGAGTCCGGATCCACGGAGAAGAAGCCGATGCGCTCGAACTGGAACTTCTCGTGAATCTTGGCGTCGCGCAGACTCGCGTCCGCCAGCGCCCGGACGACGGTCAGGGAGTCGGGATTGCAGTCGCTGAGGAAGCCGCCGGGCACCTCGTTGGGATCCTCTGGGTTCTTGTGGCGGAAGAGCGGCTCGTACAGCCGCACTTCGATGTTCAACGGCCGCGAGACGAACTGCACGAAAGCCTTGGGCTTCTCCGCGTCCTTCAGCTCCTTGCAAGAGCATCGCAGCTCCTGGACAGCACCCGAGGCGTCTCTCACCACCTCCTCGACGTTGATGACGAGGCCGGCGTGTCGCAGACCGACGGATTGCGTGGGCGAGAGGCGGCGGAAGCCTTTCTCTGGCGCCTCTTTGAAGTCCGAGCGCTCAATGAAGAGCTCGCGATCCAGGCAGATCTCGTGGAAGCCACGCTCTGGACTGCCCGGGAAGTTCTCCACCCGCCTGACTACGGCGCCTGAGTAGGGGAAGTTCGTGAGCGTCACTTTGAGCGGCTCCAGCACGACGAGCGTGCGCGGCGCCGTGGAATTGAGCACGTCGCGCGCCGCGGCGTCCAGCATCGCCGGATCCACGCTGCCCTGGGCGCCCGTGACGCCCATCTGGGCGCAGAAGTTGTTCACGGCCTCGGCCGGGAAGCCGCGGCGGCGCAGCGCCGTGAGCGTGAACAGGCGCGGATCGTCCCAATCCTGCACGATGCGCTCGGCGATCAGGCGCGCGATCTTGCGCTTCGACACGACGGTGTAGTTGACGTTGAGCCGGCCGTACTCCCACTGCACCGGGCAGTAGATGTCCAGCGCGTTGCAGAGCCAGTAGTACGAGCTGCGCCGCGACTGGAACTCCTTCGTGCACAGACTGTGCGTGATGTTCTCGATGCTGTCGCACAAGCAGTGCGTGTAATCGTACGTCGGATAGATGCACCAGTCGCTCGTGCGCGGATGCGGGATGAACTTGATCCTGCAACAATTTGACATTTTGAAGGTTGATCTTCAGCGGATTAGGCTATCAAGGGGGAGATATTGTGGCCGGAAATTGTTTTTCAAGCAAAATAACGCAGAATTATTGGTTCATTCATGAGCAAAAATAAAAAAAAACGCGACTTTTTCAGTGAATTACTGCAAGAATTCAATAAAATAACTGCTAGAACTGCTAGAATTTGTGCCTTTTCAAGGCATTTGAACGCCAATTCGTGATTTTCTTAACTAATCAAGGCATTTTGATAAACTTATCGTCATTTGTCATAACATATCGCTACAAATTGTACTCAATTTGTTATTTTCTAGCAATTTTAATGCGAAATAACATCCAAAAACAGCAATTCTTGCATTTGTACTTAGAATAATTTCTTTATGCTCCAATTAAATGTGCGATTGCGACAATTTTGTAGTAAAAACTGATTGGAAAGTGAAAAATAACCTCAAAAACATCAAAATAACCTCAAAAAGGATCGAAAAATTGCAGTCAAGACGATTTATTTGAACAGAATTAGTTCAGAGAGTCTAAGAAGTGGCTGAAAAGGCCTTCTTAGGCTCAGAAAATTGTCTGAAGTGTTTGAAATTCTGCACAGCAATTTTGTGTGATAATTTCAGTGAATTATCTCCCCCTTGATTTGCCCTTTTTCTGGACTAAAAACGGCGGATTCTCACCTGTACGCCACCGGATCCTGCTTGCCCTCCTCCAGCGTGATCTTCATGCGCAGCGTGGCCGCGCCCTCGGCGATCTTGCCGCGGCGCATGTCCTCGAACAGCAGCAGACTCTCGGCCGCCGGCCGGTCGCGCCACGGCGACGGCGGCGCGCTGAAACCCTTCATCTGCTCGCCGCTCTGGTGGCAGACGTACGCCAGGCCGCGGCGGATGAGCAGCAGCGCCCAGTCGTACAGCTGCTGGAAGTTGTCGCTGGAGTGCGTGATGCGCGCCGGCGTGTAGCCCAGCCACTCCACCATGTCGCGGATGCCGGCGAAGAACTTCTCCTCCTCCTTCTCGGGATTCGTGTCGTCGTAGCGCAGCAGACAGACGCCGCCGTGCGCCTGGGCGTAGCCGAAGTTGATGTTGATGGCCTTGGCGTGACCGATGTGCAGGATGCCGTTGGGCTCCGGCGGGAAGCGCGTCCGCACCTTGCCGCCGGTGGCTTTGAGGTGCTCCTTGAGCAGCCGCTCCGTGGACGGCGTCACCACGTAGCCGTCCGTCTTGTAGTTCTCCCCGGGCGCGTGGAAGTGCACCTTGGTGCGCATCAGCTCGGCAATATCCCGCGCGCCGTCCGCCGAATCCGTCTGGACGGCGACTTTCACCTCGGCTTCCGCCTTCTTGGGCTTCTTCTCCGCCTTGGGCGGCGGCGCCAGGTCCGCCTCCGTCTTGGGCCCCAGCAAGTCGAAGATCTGCACCTCCACCTCACTCTTCACCGCCTTCCCGTCCGCCCAGGGCAGCGCTGAGCGCACTTCCTGCATGATCTTGCCGACGTTGAAGCGATATCGCTGCTCCACAATCGCCTCGCGGCTCTTCCCGATCACCTTCTCCACTGCCCTGTCGATCTCCTCAGGCGTCACCACAATTCCCACGCCGCAGGCGCTCTCGAAGTCCGGAACACTCACGGAAGCGCCGCTCTTGCTTCCGTGCGTCAGCAGGAACTCCAGCGCGGCGTCGACGCGCGGAATTGAGTCCAGCTTCTGGGTCTTTATGTACTCCGCCAGGAAGCCGAGGTGACCCAGGATCTGGGGCTTTATCTTGGACGCCATGTGGTAGAGAAGCATTCCTGCGCCCTCCGGCAAAGTTGCCACATCGACGCCTTTCAGCGCTTCCGTGAGATTCTTCGTCACATTGGCGTTCTTGAGCGTCTCCTTGGCCTTCTGCTCGGTCATGCCGAGGCTCACGAACCTCCCCAGCATCTCTTCGCCACTCATCTCGTCGTGTGGCTGTGAAAACACCCGGAAAACCTCGCGGAAAACTGCTGAGAAGATTGGAAAGTGAGGTTAGAAGTGTTGCACAATATTTCACTGATGATTTCTCACCAAAATCCTTCAGAGAACTAATCCCGATGCACTTGGCAGTGAGTAAGTAAACAATTAGAGGGCATTCACTGATAAGAAAAGCGATAAAAATGAATTTTTCCGGGGATTTTTCTCCCGGCGAAATGACGTGTATCCAAGTCACCACTGTATAACAGTCTGGCCAAATCTGTATAACAATCGCAGACGTCAAGTTGTGGTGAAAAACTTTTGTTATTGCTGTGCAATTTTATCTGAAAAATCATGGAAAATCCCAGGGAAATGGACCAAGTGGCCAGCAAACTCACGCGCCCAGTCAACAAAGCCACCGAAGGCATTATTCCCAAGCTGGAGAAGATGACAAAGCCGCAGCTTCTTGAGCTGCGCGACAGACAAATGCATCTTCTGCAGAACAAGTGAGAAAATCGCTTCTGGAAGTTTGTTTTTCCCACGCTTTTCAGGCCTAATCCTTTGGCTGATTTCCCAGGAATCGTCTGCAGCGACTGCCGGACAGAGGGAGGCGAATCCAGGAGATGCACGAGAGGATTGAGAAGCGCTTGCGAGAATTGGACACTGTTGAGGAAGCGGCGAGGATGTTTTCCGACTTGAATATCGCCTCTCGTGGCCAGAAAAGCCTGACGAATCTCGAGTGGACTGGCAAGTGTCATCCTCAGATGGACTACACGGTGGACAGTGATGATGATGAGGCGCCAGATCCGCTGAAAGTTCTCGCGCAGAGCAGAAATCTCGCGAAAACGGTGAAGATTGTCAAGGAAACGCCGCTAATCACTCAGGAAGACCTGAAAGAGATCAAATCCTTCTCTGACCATGTGCAGAAACCACCTCAATCCGATGAATCTCGCAGTGCTTCCTCAATGTCCGGAACTTCCGCTGATCTGGACGCTCATGCGGCGCTTCTGTGCGAGAAGGAACAATCCAGGGAGGTGAAGAGCAAGTTCCGGCCCTACCAGACCACCAAGAGCGACGTGCACAAGCCAGAGGCCGAGATGGAGCGCAGAGCGAGGAAGCAGTGGGATTTGAGCGCAGTCGCGCCGCCTCAACTCACGCATCCGGGCGTCAAGATGCTTTCCCTGCACGAATCCCTGGAGCTGCAGCTGCGCAAGCAGGAGGAACTGAAGGTAGCTCAAGAGTTGCTGGCCAGAGCCTTTGCCCAGTGCGCCTCAATTGTCGACATTCAAGACCTTCAACGCTGAAGAAGACTTTTTTCTTTTCTATTGCGCGCCTTATTTTGTAGAGATTCTTTGAGAAAATCCATGAAAATCCCTGTTTTTCCAGACGCTGGAGCGGCAGCAAGCCGAGGCGAGACTCCAGAAGTCGCTGAAGATGGTTTCCAGTGACTTCCAAGCCAAAGATCTCAGTCAGTTCTTCAAAACCTACCGCGAAGTGCCTGAATCTGACTCATTGTCTGATCTCTCGGCGTCCAGTGAATCCCTGGCGCTGGCCAGTGACGATGAAGTGCAGGACATCGACGCTGTGGAGCCTTCGGGAGGAGTTGTAGTGAAATTTAGCCAATAAACACTTTATTTGCCACTATAGAAACTGCCTTGAGATCCTTTAGATGGAGTAGAACTGCGTCGCCGTGGAGGATTGCAGCTCAATCTGGCCCATCTTGAACTGCAGGCGCTGCAGCCACTTCAGCAGCGCGTCTGAGGAGTGCAGCTCCTGCTCCTCCGGACTGGGACTCAAGTCGCGACAGCTCTGCAGGCGCACGTGAAGCGTGCCCGAGAGCTGAGTGTTGGACGACAGCACGGGGCTCCAGAGCGGCAGCAGCTTGGCCAGGATGGTGGATTTGGTCTCCTTGAGCGCCTCCAGGAGGCTCAGGAAGTGCAGATTGACCATCTCAGAGAGCTGCAGAGAGAAAAAAGGGGATTTTAGGCTGAAGAAGCTGCGGAAGAATTGAGAAATACTCACGACTTTGGAGTGCGTGATCAGTTGCAGGATGCAGGGCGTCACCTTGGCCCAGAACTCCAGCAGGATCGCCATGGTGACGTTGTGGGGCTCGCTCGAGGGCGCCGCCGTGCAGGACGCCTGCTCCAGATACACCGTCCAGAGCTGGCAGAGCGTGAAGGCGTGGAAGAGGCTGGACATGTGCAGCACGGACGTCTTGGACTGCTCGGCGAAGCCGGCGAAGATCACCTGGATGTGGTCGGCGATGTGGCAGCTCGCCTCCTGTGGCACGGGCTGCGTGACGGTGTGCGCCGGGTGCTGAAGATGGTAGTGCACGGAGGCGCCGTGCTGCCCGATCGGGCCGCTGCGCTGCGCCGTGAGCGCGGTGTGCGTGAGTGAGCCCATGAGGAGCCAGGAGAGGAGGCGCATGTGTCCCACGCACTCCGTGAACTCCTTGGGGCCCTGCTGAAGCGACGACGGCGCGTTGTACAGCCACGGAAGGTAGCGCGAGACGGCCTTGTTGTCCCTGGAATTGCCGCGACTCATCTCCAGCGCCAGATACTGCGCCACGGCGCCCTTCAGCACGCCGCCGAGTGTGTCTTCGCTCAGTCCCGCCGCCGCGGCGCCGCTCTTGAAGTTCTTGATCTTGCTGAGTGTGTGGAAGTCCGCCAGGAAGTCCATCACGTCGTTCAAGTACTGCCGCATGCACTCGCCGGAGTTGTTGGTGTAGATCGGCGGATGATCGGGGAGGCCGGCGATGGCGCCCTGCGGCACGGCGCCGCCGGCGTCCTGCAGCACGAAGCCGACCAGCAGCAACAGATTGGCGTCCGGGATGTTGGTCTTGAACTTGAGCGCCTGCACCAACTCGAACACCATCTGGCGGCAGAGCTGGAGCTTGTCGCGCTCCTTGGAGAACGCCCGGCTGCTGAACAGGCACAGATCCTGCAGGACTTTGTGCTTCAGCGTGAGATTCTGGATGGCGAAGCTGAGGACCTTCGAGAAGGGATCGAGCACGGCCTTGGACACGCCCTGGATCTTCAGCAGCGTCACCATGATGTCCAGCAGACTCTCGGGCTCCTCGAGGCTGGGCAGGATGAGAATCAGGCGCCGGAAGAGCGCCTCGATGCCCTGGATCGTGGTCGACCAGGCGCCTGGGCCCATGTCTGATGGCACGCACTGCAGATACTCAGCCATGTTGCGCAGAGTGACTGGCAAGGAGTCCAGCGGCAGCGTCTTCTTGCTGTTCAGACTCTCGACCAGCAGGTGGATTGGGCTGGTGGGATTCAGCTCGTTGAAGTCCATCAGAGCCTGCGCGACGCTCTTGAAGAACTTCCTGCGATGCGTTTCTGGAGGGAAAAAGAGGACAAGATTGTAGCCTTGATTGAAGGGATAATGCGCGGCGTTCTTACCATTCGCCTGGGTCAGGAACATCTGGATGAACACGCCGTTGGGCGCCAGCTGGTGGAGGACGCAGCGGATGAATTGATGCGCCACGGATTGAGATCCTCCGGGCAGATGCGTGGTGCTTTCGCACTGCCAGGGAAACGTGAACTGCATGGCGAACTTGGAGACCACCAGGAGGATCTCGGGCAGGAAGGGAGCGGCCAGAGAGGGCTCCCTGTGAATGAACGTGCCCAGGATGATGATGAGGATGCCGATCTCCTCGTCGCTGTACTCCTCCAGCACTGCTCCGCACTCTCCGCATCTTCCGCACACGCAATCGTCGCCGACGCGATAAGAGCTCTGAAAGAGAGACGCGCTCTGGTCAGGAAGCTTGTTAGGATGGATAAATGGTGGGTGGAATTTACCCTGCGACTCTCGGAAGTCTGCGAGTGATGGCTGTCGTCGTCTGGATCGGAGTCTTCCTGGCGGAAGTGGAGCGGTTGCCAGGATCCTGCGTACTTCGCCATTGTCCTGTCCAGAGAGGACGAAGGCTCGGAGATGAGGGCTTTCTTGGCCCTCTGGCGCTGCACCCTGAACTGCTCAGGCGTCCTCATGCCAGAAATCTTGTAGTCAGTCACACTCTTCAGCACTGTCTGCACATCCGGAGGCGATTCCACCAGCGCCACTTGCTTGATCAGCTTTCTGGGCGAGCTTCCGCGGCTGGAGAGTCTCTGCTCGCCATCGGACTTGTCCAGGCTGTCCTGCTTCAGCTGACACACGTCTGGGATCGTGAGCGCTTCCCTCACGCGCTCAGCCAGCTGCGCAATGCCCTCTTTTCCGTGCTGCCCAATCGGCAACAGGCGCTCTGGCGTGGGAATCTCCAGCTGCTGAACGCTCTTCGGCGACAGAAGCCCGTCGCTGCTGTCCTGCGACGGTTGCGTCATGATGCTCATCTTCGAGAGTGGCGAGTCTGGAGATCCGAAGCTCTCGGGCTTCTCAACAACCTTGAAGCCGCGCTTGTTGATGGCCTTCGAGTTGCTCTTGGAATCCTCATTGGGCGATGGCAGTCCAGCGTTGGACGTTGGCGTGCTGGCCGGCGTGATGCTGGGCTCCACGATCCTCTTCTGCCTCCCGAGAGTCCTGGGCGTGGGCGAGGGACAAGGCTGCTCTGTCCAGTTCATCTTCTTGCCCTCACTCTCGGAATCCGTCTGCTGCATCTCCCGGACGCTCATCGTGGGCTGCGTGACCACAACTGCCCGCTCGACAGACACCGGTGGATTGAGGATGGCTCGCTCCTTGGCCTGGCCAGCCGTCACCAGCAGCTTCACGCCGTCCTGGACGGTGCAGACGGAGGATTTGGTTGTGGTGACTTTCGTCGTCTCCAGCGTGGTCGTCTTGTACGTGAGCATCTTCGCTCCGCCCGACATGACAACCTTCTGCGTCTTCCTGCTCGTGGACGTCTCCGTCTTCTCCTCCACCTTGTCCCCGGGCGTGAGCGTGGACATGGCCACGTGCGCCGTAGCCAGATTGGCTGTCGTCACGGTGTGCGCGGTGGCTTTGTTGCGCAGAATCTCGGGCTTCAGCGGTGCGCAGATCTCCTCGAAGTGCAGCGGATCGTCGAAGGATCCAGGAGCGCTGCTGCCATGAAGTGTGCTGTCCGAGAGATCACTCTCGGGAATCGCCACGAGCTCAGATTCTGTGTCATCCGCCTCCAGGCTGGAGTCATGGTACTTCCTGAACGTGGCTTTCGTCGGTTTGGACTTCGAGGTGGATCCGGATCCCTCTGCGGCCAGGATCGGCGATGCCGGCGGAGTTTCCTGCACTCTGTCCTCAGGATCTGTGCCCAGGGATGGTTGGCTGACGTCTGGAAGTGGAGGAAAGGGAGCTGTGAAGCAGTAATCTCAATGTTAACGGTCCTGCTCATTTGCAGAATGTGCAATAAGAATTGATAAATCGACTCATTACGGATTTATCAACTCCACTAACGAACTCTCCATCAGTTGGACTTCCACTGAAATTTGTCTCATTATCTTGCGTGTGATATTTGGCCAGAAAGCAAAAAAAAAAAAATCAAGGTGTAAATGTCTGGCGGGCTAATGAAGCAGCGCGAGTGAAAGAAATTTGCTGGACAATTAAGAAAATGACGCCTCTCATGTGAATGTTAATTAAGGCGCGATCAATAAATATCTACCTCGAGAGCGCGACGACACGGGAAGATCCATGATCACCGTGGCGGGGATTCGCTTGCACTGGTGGAACTGCGACTCCAGGCAGTTCAGCACGATGCGGATCACGTGGTTGATCTGCGAGCAGAGCGGCGGCTGCGTGTACTGATACTTGTACAGCACCACGATCACCGCCATCAGCCAGTTGCGGCGCTGGTGCGGCTCCAGGAACCACAGGGAGTAGGTGTAGGCCAGGTTGGCCTGCGCCTCGGCGGTGGGCGCGGAGGTGCCGTTCATGGGATTGGGCGCGTACAGCAGAATCTGCAGCGCCGTGGGAATGATCGTCCAGCCCATGAGGTGATTCTGGTCCAGCACCTGTGGCAGATTGGCCAGGAAAGCGTTGAAGACGGTGGAGCTGCGCAATCTTCCCGGGGGGAGTTGGAAGTTCTTCTCCTGCTGGCTGAAGCCCAGCAGCAGATAGAGATGGCGCAGCACAATTGACTGCGCCTTGGCCATGGGCTTCTCCTCAGACGGGAAGGCCTGATCTGGGCGCGACATGAATTGCATGAGCAGGAAGACGAGCAGGTGGATCGTCTCCTTGTCCTGCTCCTCCAGATCGATGATCCTGTTCAGGCAGCCGGACAGAGTGTCCTCGCCGGCGCCGCCGAACGAGTGGAAGTGTCCATCTGCGGAAGAGCAGAGACAGCATGACTGCCTGCACGTGACACAAGGCATTGTGGGAGAGTTGCAGGTCAACAAAGAGACAAACATGGATGATAATCTCTCGATAAATAACGTGTGTTGAGTATCTGTGTCAAAAGCGACTCACGGCTAAGTTGCTGAGGCATGCAAAAGAGCGAAAAAAGAGCCCAAAAAAGTCAAGGAGGGGAAAGAGGAATTGGCGAAGGAGTCTTGCGAATGGGCACATAAAAGCGGGATAAATCTAGCATTCTATTGTGTGTTTGAGAATTGCTGGGCTAAAGAGTTCATCACATACCGGCTCAGTTGACAGAGACACAGGTACACCTACATAGAGTCACGAAATCACACTGAGAAGAGGAACACTCATGATGACAAAGTTCTCAAAGGGAGGAGAGAGAGAGAAGAAGACATCCAACTAAAAGAGGCGGGAATCTTCACAAGAGAAGAACTCAAGAGAGCGAGAGAAAGATCCAAACCAAAGATGTAAGAAGAACTTGGGTGACTTTGGGTGCTTGTGAGAGGATGCAAAAGGCACTCCATGCGGAAAGACATAAAATTTCGCGTTTTATTCTGTGTACGACGAGCTCGTGATGATCATCACTGATGATCTTTATGGGCGATTCGGTGATATTTTGGGCGGTTGGAAAATTTTTATTGCCATCGCTCAATAATTAGCTGAGATTTTTGGTGATTGATAAATCAATTTGTAATTCATTTTCCAAGCTCTCAAGAGACTGGAATTTCTGTCCACAAACTCAAAGGGGACAATAAATGGTGAGGAACTATGTTTTCATAATTCCTGGTTGTTTTCAATCAACCATAAGCAGTTCTAAAGGACAAAGCTGGAAAAACAATTCCACTGAAGCGTATGTTTCAGCTGGAACATTCAACAGAAACCGCTTGTGAGGCAATTTGCCATTGAAAGGCTTGATTTCCTCGTGCTGGAGTGCCATTGCCAAGGACGAACACAAGGAAGAGGACGGACAAGAGGGTGGATAGACAGCGAGAGACACTCAATGTGCGACGCCACTCTGGTGTTTGCGGTAGTCTGTTAGTGGGGCTCCACAAAGCGCCGGTCCTGGGCCCGATCGAGAGCGAGACATGCGCTAGCCACCTACCTGACGCCCCGGTGGCCGGGAATTGATACACATGCTGGTGGGCGGCGAGGTTGGGCGTCGAGGGCGCCGTGCCCGAGCCCGGCTGCGAAGCGCCCGGCGTGCCGGGGCCGGCGTGCGAGCTGTGGTGCGGATGGGGATGAGCGAAATGGTGGTGGTGTGAGTGAGAATGCTGTGTGGCTACTGAAGAAGTGTGACTATGATTAGTTCCTGAGAGGAGAAACTGACCCAGTCCGAAGCGCGAGCTCTTCCGCTTGAGGATTGGCGCCGAGATTTGGCGGTTGTACACCTTCTCCTTCTCTGTTGTGGAGGGGACTTGATTACTGAAAAACATCTTCGGGAATGGAAATGTCAGCGGAATACCCATTTTCGAGTCCTGGCGCGGAATGATGCTGGCCGGAGCCGACATGGTGCGCTTGTACGGCCACTTGGGCCCGAAGGACGCACTCAGTGTCTTTGCCATACTCCCTGTTCCGTCCGACTGGCTGAGCGCCTCGCGCGCCTTGCTGATCTTCGACGAGAGGATCTCGCTGCCGTTCTCAGAGTTTCTCAGATCTGCAGTGATCAGCGTCAGCAATCCAAATTCCAAGGTTGTTTCTCAAAGACGCATCTAACTTACCTCTGAGGTAGGAAATGTCCCCGTTCTTCTCCAAATTCACCTGCGCCTCCACGAACAGCGTATCGAAGCGATTCAGGAAGAAATCCCACGCCAGAACCTTGCGATCTGACAAGGAATTGTGCAGCTGATAGACACTCTGGAGCACAACAGGACGATCCACAATGAACAGATCGAACTGCGACTCCAGACAGAACAGCAAGCTCTTGATGGCATTGTCATGAATGGTTCCCAGATAGAGCGTTGCTCTCTGCGCCACGTGGACGTTGATGTCGTCCATGCTGGCGATCAAGTGGCAGAAAGCTGTTGCAAGCGCCGTCTGGAGTCCAACTTCTGTGCGCAGAGGAGTCGAGTCCATGAAGCGCGTGATGACTGTCACGCGCTCCACAGCGGTGAACCTAACTCTCCAGTCGGAATCGTGGAAGGCCTCCTGGACAATCCTCCAGAAGACATCGGATCCATGCGGAAGAGTGATGCAGTGCAGGAGCAGAGGAACGCCAGATTCGCAAATGTGTGAATGTTCGGCGTTGCTCAATTCCCACAAGCTAAGAAGAAGGAGAATGTTAGACATAGGTTTATGTGAACAAGGTCTAGATTACTTCTTGATCAGTAGATTCTCCTGACACCAGATGAAGAATCCTCGCTGATCCCGAGCGGCTTTCGACAGCGCATCTCCGTGCAGAGCGAGAATGTTGAGACACTGAAGCATGTAGTAGAGAATGTCCGGTTTCTCAATGTTAGGCAGCTCCTGAAAATGGCGGAGAATACAGGCAACCTAGAAAGGGAAGGCTGGATCCTAGTTCGCACCTTCAACAGTTGATGAATGTACTGCAGTTGCTGAGGCAGGGAATCGAGAGCGAACTTGAACTTGCCAACTGAAGTGTGCCAAAAGTCCTCTCCGTCCTCCAACTCGTCAGTTCCATCCTCGCCATCTCCGCTCCTGTCGCCTTCGCTTCCAGGACCACCGACAAGATTGGGCTTCGCCACTTGCACAGTGGCCGTTGCTGGAAAACAAGAGCAGTTTCAGCGGGAGCAACCCTAAGATTTGGGGCGTTGAAGGCTCTCACCGACGTCTGCATCTGAAAGTGTGACGGACCTCGCCACAGCCGTGACCACCTTCTCGGAGGGCATGATGGCAGCCAGATCTAGCTGCTCAGAGACCGTCTCCACCGTGGCGGTCATGATCTGAAACAACGGCTGAATTCTAAGTGCACTGGAGTGACTTAGACGCACTAGAGAATCAATTGACAATGCGCGGGAAATGTGTTATACATCTAGAACACTGATAAGAGCCTGAGATTCCTTTTCTCTCATATCCACAGAAAAAAAGACGAAGAGATAGAGACAGAGACAGAGTGCCATTTCTCGGTAGAGAGAAAGAGAAAGAGAGAGAGAGAAGTACAGAAGGGTTAACCAAAGGGATTCATAATTTTAAAAAGGGGGTTGAAAACTAAATGTTGAATCAAACATAAAGTTATTTACAGGAAGAATTTCACAACATCCTTCTCATGAAGTTGCGAAGCTGGACTCTTTTTTTTTGGGGGGAAACAGGAACAACTAAAGCGGGATGCATAATTGCCGGGAAGAGCGTGGATGAATGGAGGGAAAGAGAGAGCTTTGAGAGTCCAGCTTGTCATGAGGTGTTTACAGAGCATAATCTGATAATTTTCACACAGTGTCGAGTCTATTGGTTCTATTTAATTAAAATGTAAATATCTCTGAATCTATTGCATAATTATCATCTTGTCTAATTGATGTTAATGAAGTTCACAAGAGACTAACAACTAAAAGATTGTAGAGACAGAGAGAACAACAAAAGGAGGGAAAAACTTAACAACTCAAGAGAGAGAAATGAGAACTAAAGGTGGATTTGTAACATCGACAGATATAAAGGACTGATAGATTGAACACACATACAAGATACTTTGGGGCAAACATTCATTAGATTCTGCTATGAATTTCTCAGCATGTTTCTTAATGCGACTTTGCGAGTTTTCCTATTGAGTGTATTTATATAGATTTTGAGTCGCTGACGTTTTTTTTTTTTTTTTATAAATCTTCTCATTCGAGTGTGGAATGGAGAAAAATGACACAGAAAAGCAACAAGAATATATTGACGAAAAAAAATGAGTCTTTTCTAATCACACTTCATCGAATTATATGTTCTTGTTTGAAATTTTTAATAGAGACAGAGAAGTGAAAAGGAGGACAAAAACTAAGTGACATATCCACATATTTACAACGATTCATCAATTATAAATCTCTCAATTGACTTTCCATTTTTTTTTTTGATTCTCAAAGCAAGAATTCTATACAAAAAGTGGTCTAATTTTGTTGTGCTATTTGCAAAGTATTGAGAAATTATTGTTTTTTTTTTTCAATGCTCCTCAAGACTGTTCAATATTGATCTTCAGCTAGAGATAGTTCACAAAGTATACAGTCAATATATATATATAAACATAGGGAAGACAGCAAGAGATATGTTAATTGATACAACATTGATAATTGTTGGACAAAGTACCTCGTCTGTGGCATGAATAAAGCGCGCAATTTCTTGTTCACGGCCCTGTGGTGGGAGAAAAACAATTGAGACAGAAAGTATAGGCAAAAAATCACACTGAAAAATCAAAAAATCCGGACAGAAATTAAGGATGAAAAGAAAGAGTCCCAGAAACGCCGCGGGATTGCAATGTTTATTTATATATTTTTGGTTAATATGAAAGCTTTTTTTTGTTTGAGGGGGTTGGGGGTTGGTTTTGAGCTCGCAAGGGGGAGATTGCAACTAAAGGGGGCGCTATAAGGCGTCTTGAGACACTTAAGAACGATACATACAGAGCACACGTTGGGCATGGACACGAGCACGCCTCCGATCGAGTGTGGCTCCGGCGGCTGTGGCAGGACAACGGGTACTGGACCTAGAAAACACAAGCCCCCTTTAAAAGGGATCACGGGCATTGGTAAGCGGTCACTTTCTTGGATGGGGCAGTGTTGGGGGCCAAAAGCTCGCAGAAATGTCATGTGATTTGCAACCATATTCAGTCTATTTTGAAAGCTCTCTTGGGATCTTGAGATCTTCAAAGATTCTTGATTCGCAGAGCTTTGGGCCCCTCGAGTGTCCTCCTTGAGAATGTGTCTTTGTGTTCAAGTGTAGAACCAATTGTGAGTGTGTGTGTGTGATTTGAGTGTGTGATTTCTGAGCAATCCAGAAAGTAATCCAATTAGTGTAGATTTTGATGTAGAATTGTGTGTGAAATCATCCAAGAAAGTGGGCGAATATATAGATCACACAAGAAGCATGTCGGAAGTCGTGTTGATTTTGAGAAAACATATTTACATGAGACACAGACATAGATCCACAAAAGAGTGTGTTAGATTTGCAAGAGAGAGAGAGGCAAATGTAAAAAACAGCGAGAGACGACAGATAAGACAACACACTTTGTGAAGTGAGGAATCACCTGCCATAATAACTAATTTGCCAGGATCATCTGGAACAGAGAGAGGAACTATTCGTTACGATTAATATCTATTGACTGGGATTTGATTTTTACACCCAAGGACAGAGGATTGAATAGAGAGAGAGAGAGAAAGTGAGTCTAAGTGGGAAGAAGTGCAGCTGCGGGAGGTTTGAAGATCACTGGAGAGAATTGAGAGATTAGTTGCAACGCTAGACACATTTCTATCCGATAGTCGGACTATAGTGACAGTGTTGTGCAAACAGAGAGAGTGGCTTTTGGAGGAGACACCCACGGAAATACCTGAAAAACCACCTAAAGGTCCCAGCGGAATTGGCAGGGGCGCCATTGAGAGGGACACATCCCTGTCGCGTCCCTTCGGCTCCTTCTCCGTCTCCGGCGGACTCTTCCTGGCCGATCGCTCGTCGTCGAAGATCTCCTCAATTGGCGGCTGCAAGACAAACAGGAACCGAAATGACGCTGAGAACTTGCTCAAAGTTCATGTTTAACTTACATCTGGGGGTCGAGTTGGCTTCTTGGGCGCCATGAATTGAACCAGCTTCGTGGACAATTGATGCCACATCACGGAAGCTTCGCAGTATCCGCAATCGGCGATCTTGAGACCGCAAGTGTGACTGCCCATTCCCACCTTGGCCGCCGTTACCATGCACTTGAGCAGTCTGCAGACATTCTCGCACACACTCGTGTGAATCCCCATGTGCTGCTCGATGTCCTGCAGCTCCATCTGCTTCAGCAGGATGTCCAGCATCAGGATGCAGCACGTCAGATTGTTCTCCGCATCCGTGGCGAACTCTGTTGTCTTTGTGTGCGGAGCTTCATCGTCTGAGATCGCCGAAGTGTTGCCATCCGAATCGTCCTCGACGACAGGAGAGATTGAGGATCTTCTCGGCGCTTGATCCTTCTTCTCAGACGTCTTCCCGTCCTTCTTGTCTCTCATCTCATGGTGAATTCCCTGCTTCATGATCCTCACTCCATCGCCAAACATGGCAAACAACTGGGATAGCGGAATCAGGATCTCCAACTTCGTCAGGATCTGCAGCCAATGCAGAGCTTGTTGCTGGACTTTCGACGTTGTCTTCTCAAAGCGAATCGCCACGAAATTGTACATGGTTTTGGCGTCGAAGCCCAAAGGAGACATTTCGGGATCCAGGATCTTACTCAGGACTATCTTGAGCTCTGGCAGTTCCTTCTCGGGAACGTCATTCGTGATGGCTTCCATCCAGTGCGGCATGACAAAGTCCCAGATCTCCGAAGAGATCACTTCGTACGGAACCAGGCAGATCAGGCGCTGCAATCCTTCCTTGAGGTGGGACGTCCTGGAGGCCAGAGTGTCCCAATGACCGCCGACTCTGGAGTACTCCGGAGGATGAGGCAGCAAGCAAGCGATGAAGTCCTTGTAGTGACTGTTGCTGATGTCGCGCAGCCATCCGCAGACGTGCTCTATCTTGAGCTTCTCCAGAGGACTCTCGAGCTGTCCTTCGTAGGAATAGGCTGTGACGTGGAACCAGTGGAACAGCATGGATAGCAGGCGTCCTAGAATCTCGACTGGCGTGTCTTGAGTGGGAGTGCATCGGCCGACGAGCAGCCAGATTCCGTATCTTCCCAATTGCTGTCTCTCCTCCAAGCTTATGTTGTCCTGCGGCGCATTCGACACGGAAGGCTTAGTGGAATCCACCGTTGAGTCCTTTCCCGGCTCGAAGTTCTGCGGCTTCGCTTCGCGCAAGAGACTAACCACGGACTCAACCATGTAAGTCTGCATTTCCGCGTCCATTTGCCAGGCGGGCGGAAGACTGCGGTGCACAATGTGATCTCCACCTCGTCGGCTGTTGTGGCGATTGCCATGACACTGGAGGCAGTATCTGATGGGGTGGTTTCCATTGTAGCTGGCGCACTCGGTGGAGAAGCAGATGGAAACTGCTGATTTGTCCGTTGAACGGCAATTCTTGTTCTCGCAGACCATCGACACTTGTTGCATGGGATGCAGAATGTCGGAGAAGGTCTGGTCAGGGTGTTCCCGGTGGATATCGTTGGCACACTCGATGCAGAGGTAGAGCGGCGGCGGACACTCTGAAGCATAGATGATGCTGATGCTGTGGTTGTAGCACACTTTAACGGCCTCGGCGTTGCCGGCATTTGGGCAGGATTCCCTCTGGCAGACGAAGGGCACCAAGTCATCTGCAGAAAGAGGACAAATTTCACAGGATACCAAGATTATGAGTGCAGGAATGTACTTGTGAACTTGCAGAGAAGTCCTCGGCGGTCGAAGAGATTGGTGTTGAAGGCTGGCCAGTAGTAGAACAGAAGCTTGGCCGCTGAAGATCTCGAAGCTGCGGTTCCGTAGGCGATGACGCAAAGGAGATCCTTCACCACGTTGTGCTTGAGTGTCATCAAGCACTCCAGAAGCTGACAATGATGTGCTGGATTGGAAGAGTACTGGAAAACCAGCATGATAACAGCGGAGACTGATTGGCAGGCTTGACATTCCTGCTCCTCAACGCTTTGGCGAGCTGAAGGAGGAAGAGTTACAGAGGGGGAAAGCAAGATTCACAGCAAGGACTCACTGATGGTGAACGGAAGGATGTAGAAGCACAGCGAGTTGATGACGTCCTGATGGAGCGACGGTGGCAAGACTGAGATGCAGGACGCCGTCAAGTAGGGCAGATTGTCGATCAGATCCCTGTCGAGGAACGGCAGGATGCAGCTGAGACACTGAAGCACCGCCTTGCCGAACATCACGAGGCCGTACTGAATGTTGGACGCCACGTCGAGCAGCATGTTGATGGCATTGTAGAGGTTTCCGTACTCGAGGTTGGGGTAGGCGGACATGCGCGCCTGATCCTGCGATGGGTCCTTAATCATCTGGTACGGCGAGCTTGGCACATCTTTCAGGAGCGCTGAAGTGCGCAGAAAAGGCAATTGGCGAGTATGTTATCGATCCGGTGCTTTTGGCAACTTACTGAGCAGCGTCTGAGAGAAGTACTTGATGTTGTTGGCAATGTCCACTCCAGATGGGAGCGGAATGATGTTGTGCAGCAGCCTGAGGTGGTAATCATAGAGACAGCGGAGCTTGGCTTGATCTGGAAAAATCCCAATTATTAACACCTGCGCTTTGAAGCTTTAAAAAGCTCTGCGAAACTTACAAGCTGCCGCTCGCGTGCCCATGTTGATGAGTTGCACCCGAAAACTGCCCGTCAATAGATGAATAAAAGCATTAAATCAGCATGTTCAATATCTAATCAGTGACTAACAGAAGCTTTGTATCAAAAAAGTTCTACTTTCGCAAACACTACAGAGGTTGAATCAAATTTGCAGCACTTCGCAGGCAAGATGGCGGCCAATAAATTGCTATGAATTGATTAAATAAAACTACAAAATACGCAGAATAAATTTTGGCATTAAATTCCGCATCTTACGATGTGGCGGAGAAAAGTGTCTCTAAAAGGGCATTCAGAGTGCAGAGAAGGTAAAACTGGGGGGGAGGAGAGGAAAATCTCTTCTGTTCTGGCTTTCTACCCACTCACTTTTCCATGGTCGACGCCCTGCTATTGGCAAATTGACTCTTTTTTTTCGCAAGAAATTGAGTGGTTTTTGGCAAATTTGCACACTCACGTCACTAATCTGGGGCTTCCGGAGTGCTGGGGTTGGTTTTGCTGGGTGTGAAGCGCCCCTTGCCACCCTGAAAGCCACACTTTTCCCGGGAGCTCCGCAAAATGTCGCCGAGAAGCTGCGGGAGAAATTGGGTCAACTGGCGTGACTTCTGCACAGAATCGCGAAAATTCACCAACACAGATTCGCCGCTTGGATAAGAAATAATCGATAGCGGGCGGTTTTTGGGGGTGGCGCGAACAGCTGACTGTGTAAGCTCGTCCGTGTGAGGTAAACAGTGGCACACATTGAAGTCTTATCCCAGGGTTGAGCCACGTGTTTCTGCCACGCTGAGGTTATGCCGGTCGATGGGATTTTCCCCTCTGGTCGAGGAAATCGTCCAGAGAAGCCACAAAAATGCGCGCTCTCGGAAATTCAAAGTTTCCGCGCCAATTTCTTTGAGAGCGAAATGATTTAAATATCAAACTGTACACCGCTTCAGAGAGCACAACATCTCTTCCCCTTGGCGGGAATGTCAAGTGGGACTGTGGGCAGGCACTCATCGTGATTTGCGACCCACTCGCATTAATAAATTTCCCACAGTCTCTCTCTGTGTCAATCCAAAAATCCTCCTGGCGATCGAGATCTCACGGGTTCCGCAACACAATTTGCTAATTTGCATTGAAATGGCAATCAAATGCGGGCAATAAGACAATGCCAATGAGACAAATAATCCATCGTGATTAGGGGCAGGGGTGGAAAAGTGTTCCTCGATGCCACAAGTCTCCGTGAGAAGAAAACCACCAGACACACACACACAAGATGCCATACTGGAATCACGTTAAGGCGTTCCTCTGCAGCCTCTCTCTTTCTGGCGGTCCTGGCTTTTATGAAAATATCACAATTAATGGCCATGTGGGAGTCGCCGTGACAAAATCATGTGCAGGAGATGGGATTTTAGGGGGCGGCCGCGAGAGCACTCATAGATTATTATTAAATTAATTAAAGTATACAATTTCTCTGTTGGACAAGAACCGTTTCGTGCTCTCTTGCGATCGGAGAGCGCGAAGGTAGAGGGGAATTGAGAGGCGCCTATCTTAGTGGCACGGATGGAAATTATCGCGAAAGGTCTTTAAAATACCTCTCAATTCTGACTTTTGTGTTATTATTTTCAATAATAATTCAATTCAATGCTTTCATTGCATATTTCCGGTCTTTTCTTCCTGCTTTTTTATTAGCAATACATAAAAAAAATCACGAAGAAGCTAGAAAAATTAAAAGTAGCTTCAAATGGGCGGAGCTTTTGAGTGGGCGTGGCTTCAGAAGACGCATTTAAATGCTCTTCATACAAATCATCTTCTATTTATGATATTTTCTTTCAGTGTTTGCGCATATCTAAATTGATTCCATTAGCCTGAAACCCTGAACCTTTAGCATTAGGACACTTGTAATTATGCATAAATTCCTGGTCTTAATTGAGATGAGCTCCAGAATTGAGTTACACACTCATCGCTGTAAAAGCACATTATCACACTGAAAATTTCAAACATTTCAAGAGCAATCATCTGAAGCGATTGCCGGAGAAGATGCGCGCTTTGGGGAGAATGAGAACAGGAAGTATCCAAGACAAGACGCTGAGAGCTGGCGATGATGGTGTATTTTCGCTGATAAGTAAATGAAGCATTTCCTATATTTGCTTCTCCCTTTCACCCAATTCAAATAAAACCTCCTTCATTTCCTCAACAGAGGCACTTTTTGTCTCTGGCCTGAGAGTGGAACTCGATCCCTTTCTCGAGTGCGTGTGAATCAAGTGGATCATGTAAATATTTACACATCAATTTCCGCCAGTGAGTCAGTAGGATATTTGCACTGCCTGGTGACTATATACTTCTCCAGGACGTCCAGGAGTGGAGGAATTCCCGGCGTTGTTGTGGGATTTATTGAGCTGTCAATTGTAAGACAAAAATTCCCCTCCTTTCGGTCTGTTGAGCTATTAAGCAATTTAATCGGCATCCTTCTCCAAGACGATCAGCAAGAGAGGTTTGATGAGGCCATGACCATCACTAAACTCCCGGTGATTGCTTCTCACCTCTCGCGGCTCCGCAACCCCGACAAATCACTCTCCGGCTCGAGTGGCGAAGAGTGTTTTGTACAATGTTCGAAATGGGAGAAAATCTCTACTCGCCACTCGTGATTTCTCAAGAGGATTATGAACATAAATTTATATTGTGCCCAGCATCCCGGCCTTCCAATACACTCGCACAAATTTCACAAGTACCTGCTGATGACTCTTGAACTCCCGGAGATGTTGCCGGGCCTCTTTTTTTTCCCCTCCTATATACCATTCAACTGTCCTTCTGCGAACTCCTAAATGCCTCTTTTTCCAGTGCATTTATGCCTTTATGTGATTCAATAAAATTGCTGCTGATTGAGGAATTTTTAATACTCCTTCTCTCTCTCGCTCTCCTGGGATATTTTTACTCCTCCATCGCGCCGAGACATGCGCAGTAATTATTGAGAATAGCCATGGCAAAGTATGAACATTTTTCGGATGGTGGTCTTCGGAACCGATGAGCAACAATTCAGCATTCCACGTGATTCGTGATCAATCAAATTGGAATTCTTTTTCACTTCTTGTTACTCCACAATTTGACTTTTTTCACCTCTTCTCCGCCACTATTTATAGACTCGCACATCGCAGCTTCTCTCAACTCTCAAGAGAAGAAAAAAAAAGAGAGAATTTAACATCCCTTTCCAAAGTCCCTGCCGTTTTGCTCCCTATAAATCACCAGATCAAACATATGTCTGTTATTCTAAATTGAAAATTAGGCACACAAGAAGTGAGGGCAAAAGAAATATCGCGCTTCTGACAAATTGATATGAGTTGAATGTCTTTTGATTGGTGGATGAATCGGTGAAAAATAATTCTATTTATTACACCACCGTTAATAAATCTCCTCAATTGCCCGCGCGAGATGTGATTGATCAACAATTTGCACGGGCAACAATTGATTGTCATTCCCGCGATTCACTCAATCACACAAACACACTCACAGACACTTCCAAGGGGCTGCTAATGTGGCTTTTGAGTGTCATCTTGCATCTCGACTGCATCCAGATTTATTTGATTCGTCACCAAAAAATATGTCGTGATTCAATAAGAGAGAAAAGAACTGCAGAAAAAAGGCTTTTCTGCGACCATTTTTCCACTAAATCTGTGCTGAAAAATTTTATTTCCCCCAATTTCTCAATTTTCGTATTTGTGATCAAAATCTCCGCTAAATAATTTTTTCCACACAATTCTTCCTAACATTCTCTTTAACGCTTAAATGTACATTCTTGGGTTTTGAATCTTCTCTTAAGGACTCTTTTTAGAGCCCAAAATGTCATTTTTCACATTGTTTTCCACAATTTTCGCTTGAGAAGCTACTAAGATCGCATTTTCGCGTCCTTTTCCTCTCTTTTTCACACTCTTTGACTACGTGGTGTGATCCTGATCATGAAAAAGAGGGATTTAAGTGCGAAAATAAAGCTGTTCAGCTTATCAGGACTTCTACTAATTTTTCTAACTAATTTAACTAGACTAGAAGACCGAAAGACGAAAGAAAAATATTCTAAGCTTATCAAAATCACTAATTTGGGATAAAAATTGATGAATTGACACTTAATTCAACCCTTAATTATACGATTTTTGGTAAATTCAACATCAAAATGTCTTTAATTCCGTTTCATTTCATCTGTGGTGCATTTTGACTGCCTCTTGAACCAAATGACACTGCATCTCTGACATTAGTAGCCCCTTGAACCCCTCACATTGACCAGAAGAATTGGCTGAGAAGATGTGCGCGAGATACAATGTAAATAAAATGCAATTACATCGTTGATTACGCCCTTTTTTTCACCGCCAAGATGACCAAGAGATGCACCCAGAATACGGGTGTTTTTTTCCATCGTGCGCCCTTTGATTTATGTCATGGCATTCGGTGGATTACAAAAGAAATCGATTTTGAGCCTCAAATTCACATGGCTTAATGATAATCGGTGGCAAAGATAAATATACACACGCGGAGAGAAGAAGCGCCTTGTGGGAATAAAGGAATCCCATCATCAGCTTCTTCGGGCTTTTGTGCAGAATTTCTGCACCCAGAGAGAGAGGGAGATGAAGAGGAGATTGACGGGTCGGTCCTGAAGAACATCTTGAGATGTGCCAAAGTGACACTTGAGAATTCTCACTCTCGCCCTTTCTAATCCGCCCCAGTGCGCGCAAATGAGGGAGAATTTCCCAGAGTCTTTTGCACTTCAAAACCCGAAAAACTCAAGAGAGCATAAATTGCACATCACATTCCTTTTACATAACCCAAAGAGAAGGGCCTGCAATCACACTTTAATCTATAACACATGCAATTTGATAATTACAACCGCGTCTGGCATTAAAACATTTCATTAATTTGCAATTGAGATAATTAGTGCAGCTCATCCATTTCACAATTGGACTTCCACAGAGCGTCAGGTGAAAGTCGCGCCCAGATTGAATATTTTTCGAGAGAGAGAAAAGGCCCATATTATAAATTTCGTACAGACAAATTTCATCATAAAAGCCATTGCACGCGGAATTGTATAAGACACACGAAAAAGTATACATTTTGCGAAAGACGCCAAGAGAAGCGGAACCAGATGCGGATCAATTTATCTCGTCATTCTGCGCAAAGCAAAATGCATTTGGCCGAAGAGAACAGGAAATAACCTTTCGCCTTCATCATCATCTTCTCTGATCGGGAGCGACACAATCTGCCTGTATTAATCTTCGATATTCCATGGGAAAGAGGCTGCGAAGTGGTGGGCAAAAAAAGTGGAGCGCCTGGGAAGAAATTCGGGGCGTCCCTCTTATCTCACGAGGAATCCTCAAGGAGCCATAAATAGGCTGACGAGGGCACAGATGGACCTCAGCGCCCATCAAATTCAGGAGCCTTGACAGAAGCCCTCAAGGAGGAGATATTGTGTCTCAAAGACTCTATTTTCCGCAATGAAATGAAATTAAAATTCCTTGAAACCTCAGATTTTAGTCTAAACAGAAGAATTCTCAGCAAAGTATGCACAATTTGAGGTTAAAAATCCTTCCAAGAAGCGTTTATTGATTAGAAAAGTGGAAAAC